CTTCTTTTCAACTTTTTTTCTTCTTTTCAACTTTTTTTCTTCTTTTCAACTTTTTTTCTTCTTTTCCTTTTTTACAAAGAATTATGGAAACAAAAAGATTCAAAACCTTTCCAAATTTTAGAACTGCAAAATTAAATGATGTCTCGATTTCTACCACCAGTAATGAGAAACCATTCATGTTGTATTGATAGTCACGACTTGCGTCTTACCACGGAATCGGACGGAAGGTAAAAGATAAAAAACATTAATAAATAATTTGCATTATTGGTCTTGAAGAATTCTAAAATTGATGATTTAATATTCTTATCGATTTATAAACCATTTATTGCTGACAATATTGAATTTAAGACAATTATATACATATACAGTAACATGGCATGATTTGCAACAATCCGAACAATCAAATTCCGTGAATGATATGGAATTAAAAACTGCATCTTCTCAGTTTTCATTTATGAATAGTATGAAATCTGTGAATATCATTTTTACTCCAATATCTCATCTAATCTGATATTTTGTTACTTTGTAGTGAGATTGGAAAAGTATGATAATGCGGAATTTGAAGTAAACATCAAGTGACATCAAATATTTTAGCGTCCCCAAAGCAAAATATGTCCTCAGCAGACATGCGAATTTGTGAGCGCATTGCGCCAGATAATGCTTCCAGTTTGCGAACTCGAGAATGCCAATGTGATGGACCATGCGGAAAAATTAAGGTTAACTTTAACGGCTATTTGCGTTTTATTGAAATACTTAAGGAGCTGGTTACAGATACTTTTTGTTAGAATATTTATTAACTTATGGCAAACATACTCAAAACGTTTATTTACAATTAATACAAAATGCATTTAATATCAGAAATAATTAAAGAGGGCCATGATTTTTGAATGGGAGTGCTGAAATAGTTTTTATAGCCAGTGAGCGAAATGCGCATTATGGGCCTTTGTGATCATTACATTTGTCAAGATTGTTTCGAAAAAGCACCAACTGTTAAAACTGGTTTGCTTACTTTTTCGTTGCATTTATGACAATCATGCTATCTGCAAGTCATTTGTTATCACAAAAACAGTTTCACTTCTCCATTATTTTTTTTAATTCAGCTGGCGGTTTTGGTTGTCCGAATGTGTACTGTTACCAAACGGATCTGAGAGATTTGCATGCAAATGATTATCGACGTCAACGCATAATCCAAGAAATTGTCACCATGCCTGTGCATAGGACAATTTCAACTGATAAGGTAATAATTAAAATTTTGTCTGCGATACATGAAAAAAAACTGGTAACACAGATTCTGTTTGAGAATATTTTCTAATTCATTCTCATTTTGAAATGTTTAATATCAGGAATTATATGGATTTCTTTTCAACTAATTGAAATTTAAGTCACATTTTCTCATTTGATGAAAAATTCTTTTGAGAGTGATCAAGGCATAGTGCCAGTGGTGCTAAAAAGTAGGCCATGCGTTTGCTTGGTGAATGTTCGCTTGACAACTTTTACACCGTTGCCAAATTCTGACAAAGTATGTCGTCAGCAACAAATTATAGAAATATACGGCGATTACACGATATTGCAAACGCTAAATACATTGAAAGAGTATGAACGATTTGACAGGTTAATTAATTAATCATCTTGATAACTAATCATTCCATCTCTGACAAATATAAGCATGCAAAATGATGCCAATCTTTACTATTATTTTTTGTTCATATCACTACATGAATAAGTAATAAATAACTGTTTTCAGATCTTTATCTTTCCTTCCTGATTTCAAGCAAACTATGCAATCTTCATCTTTTTTAAGCAATAATCACTAATCTATTGAATCTTAATATTTTAATCTCTTTAATATATTGATTTTAATATATTACCCATCCTTTCAAAATATTTCATCGAATTATTGCTATTTCTCAAATCTTTTTGCCATTCTGCTCACTTAGAAGTTCCCGCTAATTGTCGTTATATTCAATCAAAACTTATTTGAATTCTTTATCTTCTCTGGTAATCTTATTTTATCATTTTGTCACTTAGTTTGGACATCGCAAATCGTATATACTATTGCCCAAGTGGTCTGGTCAATGAACGCTCATCCTGGAAAAAGATTGTAAAAAATGATCTATTGATACCAATTACAAAATTTGGTCAAGAAGATCAACATATTGATATCATTTTCGATTGTACCACTCCTTAACCATTATCAACAATATGCTGATATGGAAATAATCAATTATATTTGCTTATTTACTTAGCCATTTTATTTTCGATAGCATTGAAAAATGTATTGAATTACTGGGAATATATTTTTGCTATAATTTTGTACCCATCAGCCCAAATTCAACAAATTATTAGGAAAGTCAAGCCGTATTGCTGGTCATTTTATGACAGCGATACCATTCAATAAATTTAGAAATTGCAGTGCATTATAACAATAATAATATAATTAGCCAAAATCAAGCTGTTTGCATTTGGTTTCCTAGAACTCTTTGTTAAATGGATAAAATTAATTCTGGTGTGTTATAAAGTACGGTTGAGAGATTTATTTTTAGTAAATATATCCCAAAAGAACAATATTTCATTAAAATTACTGAGGAAGTGGATTAATGGACTGAGTCCTAAAATAATGCCACAAAAATAATTCAATATTAATTTGAAGAAGTGTATGCTTATGTCATAGTGAATTATCTCAACACAGCTCTGGAATATTGAATTGTAAAATAGAATGTCAGTGAGGAAATGGCAGTAATTCTTCATTAATGATCTGTTCGGGAGAGTGGCAGTATCGCTCAAATGATATACAGAAAAAAGAAGAAATTAGTGGAATCTGAACTGTTAACAAAGTCTTATAACATTAGTGTTCCGGCCTATATTTCAAGTTTCATCGCTGCTGCATTAAGAACAGTGACTTTGTTAACAGATATATTATCCGTTTCAATATCAACATGGATTGCTTCAGCATTCACTATTCATTGTCAAGTAAATGAATTACTATAGTTTTAAAGTGGATTACTGTAAGAAATAACAGCATGTACTCCATAAGCCATCCAAATTTTTTGAAGTCTTTCAATGAAATCAAGTGAGATGTTGTATAAATAATCACTAAGAGAGAGTTCTCCCGCATTATGTAAGAATATCTCTATTTCAGAATGATGAAAAAACAATTAAACCTCATGAATATGGACGATTTAAGTCAAAACAATTGTTATCAATTTATGAGATGAAGAAGTAAATCAGGAGAAATATGAAGTTACTATCTTCATCAGTGATCTCTAACAATATTAAGAAAAGATAAAGAAAGGTAATGAAGTGTTACATGAGGATAGGACTATAAGTCCGATATATGAGGTAGGAAAAGACGATATATTCAAACGTGTCACTTTATTTATCTTCTAAATGTAAAAAGGATCTAAATTTTTCTTTACTTCGAAATTGAATCTGTTCAAAAAAATGTAAGGAAAAAATTGCTTACTTCAAAATCAAACATTCGAACCTACTCAAAAATTAATGTATCAAACGAATTTAACAATGCTGTCAACAACTCTATGCAGAATTGTTAATGTCTAGTAAATTTTAAATGACACTTTAACACAACTATAAAATACACTCCGTGTTCTGAGTTTTTATTCTAAGTTTGAATTGTTTTTCGACAAACTCAGATTAGAGGTGTCTCATGACACTACCAGTTCAGTTCTGAAAGAACATGAACCAATTTTAAAACTGTCAGAATCCACTCACAAGTCGTAAATATTTTATCATTACTCGATGCCCAATGTGTACGTAACTTATTAAGTGAACTTATATCAACCACTGAATCCCTAAAAATTAAAAACTTTCCAACTAAAAGTTTGCACTATCATAAATTCTGGACTCATGCCCAAGCTGGATGAGCTCTAAAATCAGAAACTGCTCTTTCTATCCATATGTGATTAATTGCCAATGATATTACACCTTCTCAAAAATCAAGATTTTATCAACATTTTAAAAACAATACCAAAAGTCAAAAACCGTAAGATTTCTCAGAAGTACCAAACACAACAACAATTATAACAACAATAATAATGATAATGAGCAACAAAATATACAGATGAAAATCCACATATCACTTTTTCGGCTAAGTTTGTTGAGCTTAACAGCAGAACATCAGGACCAAAATGCTGAAAATACTTCAAAAGACGGTTTGTTGACCGCCTCGCCGAGCAGATTCATTAATTCATTCCCTTATAACTAGTAAATTCGAAAAATGATTCCCCTAATTTCGGCTATAAAATGATGTGTACTCATAAGGACGCATGATCAGTTCAATAATGCTCCATCTGTAAACTAAGGACAGAAAAATATAAGTGAACTTTTCATTCAATTTAACACCAGTAAAAATAGAACTTGAAAACATCATCTTTCATAAAAAGTAGCAGCGAAATCTTTCTCTGCAACGACCCTTATGAATCTAGAAATAAAAATTCACGTCAGCTTATCATTAAATTCTATAAAAGCATAATTTTAATCTCTAGTAGCAATTCCGTCCCACCGTCTCTAGTTCGGGTGATTTGGCATCCAAATCCATCTGGCAAAAATCCTATCATACTACTTTCCTTCCTCCAATATCCATCATAAGTGTAAAAATCCATAATAATCACACAATTAACAATACCTGAAGACCCCAATTTTCCAGTGTTTGATCATTCGTTTGAAGCATAGTTTTCAATTCGAATACATTTGAAGACTGAATGTCTGACCATTTCACGCCGAATGAAAATATGTTGAAAGCGTTTCGTTTTCGTGGGAAAAATCAAACTCTGTTTCAATTCTCTGCTAGTAAATAAATAAAATCTAAACAATAGGAAACTAATATAGTTCCGCATTTTATGATTACAATTTTTAGTGACAGAAATGTGTTCCATGTGGAACTACACTTCTAAAAAAATCATGTAAAGTTTGGCAAAAGAGACCCTGACCGCCTCCCTTTTCTTCCCCATCCTCCTTCAAGTGTTATCAACTTAGCACAAAAAATTGTAAAATAAATTTCACTTATTGAGTTATAACCGATTCGAAATTTTGTAAATTCTAATTTAGAGCAGGAGAAATACCAATCTCTCTATCTACCTAATATATGGAAGCATTTTTCTGCGAAGTACAACGAACGAAAACAAAAATGCACGATAAGGGGTTAAGCAGATGAGCAAACATGCTGTCATGGATGCTTTAAAAGGTTTTTTCAGATAGCTGTCCTGCAAATTCGATTCGCTAGGTATCACCAAAACAAAAACTGCACTTTAAGTAATGAGGTAATCAAATTCATTTCTTTTGACTCAATTTATTATCGAAATTTTTAAAAAATCAAATTTGCGGCAAATTAAAGGGAGTTACTGTATCTAATTGTAATGAAATGCAAAAATGAGAATATCGAATAGAAGTTCAAGAGGAACGACAACACAAACCATAATAGCATAAATAGAATTCAACAATATATTTTAACGTTGGTTAAGAAACAGCCAGAAACAACGATTTAACCAAAAAAAAATGCAGGAAGGGTCTTCAGAAAAATCCATGCTGACCAGGATTTTCAACAATTCTTTTCGGCATATGGCATATGATATAGCATATGGCATATGCCATTTTCGGCATATGATATCGACATCAAAAAACAGCGTGGAATATATTTTTCACATATTTTTTTTCAAATCCAAAAAAAGCAACTCTCTTTCGCATGCGTAAAACGATATTACAGAGCTCATTAAAATTTAAATATATTTAAAACCACTCAGTCCATATCCAGCAAAAGAAAGTTGAAATCATAAAATTTTTTTTACCAATCCCTCCTAGAACTTCATAATGAAAATGTAAAATTTTGTCAAAAAAAAAAATTTCACCAATTGTAAAATGACTAATCATAATTCAATACAAAATAACTCATAATCTTTTCTTTAAACAAAAATAATAAGGAAACATTAGGAAACCAATTTTTTTTAATAATCATGGAACCTTTTTTCTGTTTGAATGAATTGGTTTTTTCTGGGATAGGTATAGAAAATCATGGCTTTAAATCTGGAATCATTTGAAAAAAGTGAAGGTTCAGTTGCCCCAATCTCAGTAGTATAAACCTATCACTTGCTGCTGAAGCTGGCAAGATATTCCAGAGGTACCGAAAGGACATTGCGAGAAGTAGTGCTGGTTGCAGAACGTGATTTCATTGAACTCTGGAAAGTCGCTTCACAATTGAAAAAACGTTTTTTGAACAAATGAATTCCTAGTATCTTCAAGCTTGCATCACAAACAGAGATGAGAATCATAAAAAGGCCAGAAACCCGTATTTCAATTCCGATTTCTGACCGTTATAATTTTTATCAACTTAAGAAAAAATCCTGAATATCCTCATTCCCAAGTTTGCATATAAATCATTCTATTTCTAACTATACTATCCGCTTTTAACAGAATGAAAATATCTTATTTTGAAACTTGAAAGACTATATATTCTTTAAAGAAAAATTAACCTGTATAGATCCACCACCAATGATAAAACCATCACTTGAACTATTCTCACGTGTGTCATTCTAAAATTATATGTCGTGAATCAACTTAAAAGAAGCAGAAATAAAACAAGTATTTTCGAAACAAATATTTTCTTCAAAATCGAATAAAAACCCGCCCCTGAGCATTAATCAAAATGAAAATAATCGATCACTGTTTTTAGAAGTGAACAACAAGATAAATATCATAGGGCAAATTTCTTTGACATATGATAAAATCATTGAAGAATCGTATTTTCCCACATTTTAAATATAACATATTCAATTCCATCTAACTCTTTCGTTACTGCCAACAATTAAAGAGATAAGAATGATGACATGAAGAAATTGCTCAGTACAAAATATTTAGAATGGTTGTCGGAGCTTACCGACGGTGGTAAAAATTATACGAAAATTAAAGGAAAAAAGAATGTACTTTAAGTGGCGCTGGTACACTCGGGACAATACTTGGTCCTGCTAGTTCTTCAGATTGCATTTCCATATTCTGGCTTTCATTTGATGCCTACAATTGCAAAGGACCAAAAAAACTTTGGCACAAAAAATAATAGTTAAATTGATTCTGGTTTTTGCAATATTGTGTTCAAAAAGATGCATCGAGTATATTACTGAAAGAGTGTACTCATCAAACAGAAAACTTTTTAACGAGTTACATATTTCTCTATCAGTTTTCATTTGTAATATGTATGAAAAGATATACCTTGCTCGTTTTTCCTTTGTATGGCAAAACTCCGTCACGTAACTAGAAAATACTATTATAAGAACAAATAGAATTTTGTACAAAACATCATCGTTTGAGATTAGCTGACTATGGAATTGTAATAAATACCATTTCTCTTAATTGCATGTAAATTACGCCCAGAACATTTCGACCAAGACCAAACTTGGGAATTGAGAGAACTGTTTCATTAGTGAGTGGAAATTCCATCGGTATCTGGAAAGAATATTCGGAAAAATGGGTTGCCAATTACTGCATGACATTTGAATCAAGAAATATAGCTAGATCAAGAAAATTTAACTCAGAATTAATCTTTGGTACAAATTATTACTAAAGATTATTAAAAATTCTAGTTACTTTTATCATGACTTTGTTGTTTTGCATGCTTTTCGCCCAGTCCTGTATATAGTTGTGACTACAAGCACTTGCATAAAAATCGTCACCGCCGAAACAATGTATCAGCAATCTGTCGCCAGAATCCGTTAATTCTTTTCTAAGTTCTTCGCATTGTTCAACTTTTGCTAATAATGCACGCTAAATAAAACTTCTATTGACTAAAGATATTTAAACAATGAGACATAGTCAGTCATCCGGTCGCTGCTGTTTACCTTTTCATTAACTAAAAGGATAAGAAAAACAAATTTCAAAACATGTTTTCGAGCGACCAATAACTATTTATATGATATTTTAGGAATTACGATATATTCACTTATTTTATGTCACGTGTTGCGCAAAGCGGCTATTTATTATTGTGACTATTCAAGTAACATAACCTAAACATTCAGCAAAACTTCGCTACAGATTATTTTGCTAAGCACAAAATATAAATCATGTTGAGTCTCTACAGTTTGGAGTTGAGATTATATGAAGAGGATGTCGAACGGAAACAAACAAGTTGAAGGCTTTTACTAACAACGAATGTTTGATAAATCATTTGACAAATTTCAGTACATACCTGCATTGCTTCAAGACCAGGACCTTTCCGCCACTCTTCCGCTGCACTTCTACTAACCTGAACAATATTTCATTTTCGATATATGAGAAGCTTCCAACTTTATTTTCTCTAGTAACCAAAACATGCCTGTTTACTTATTTCTTTTTTAAACTCGTACATAAACAACTTAGAGTATGTCAAAATAATTTTCTATATCATTCATCACTTACTTTATTGATTTTTAAGATATTTCGAGCGAGTGTATTATAGTCTTTAGGTGTCGATTTCGATGAACCATCGACTTCAGCACATTCTGTCATCAGCAACGATGTAACGCCACACAGCGCTTCGGTTTTAGCAAGCTGATAGAAATGGTTCACATTGTCATATACTCGACCATCGATCTCCAACGGAAACTGTAAACAATCGATTCTAAATCATATAGATTATTGACTCATTATTAGCAAATTTGAAGGTAAAAAGAAGTAAAAGTTTATTCTTTGATTTAATGAACTTTCTGAAATTGGATTAAAAAAAGGCCATGAGAACAAACATCGTGTTGGGCTGTGAAGACATTTTGAAAGCCTGAGAAGCATATTATATTGTCAGGAGTGACTGCATACTCTTTATATTTGGCTGTTTCAGGTAATTTCTTGAACTAAAAAAGGAAAAGAATTATAATTGTGATACAGCCAGCTATACTTTCTGTAAGATTCTCTATAAAATCAAACCAATGATGGGAAATTAACTGCTAGCTATTTGAGAAATATGTAAGCCCTTGGCTAAGTTTAATTCAGCAATTTTCCAAATAAAATCACAGATAAGATCTAACTTCAAACGGTCTCCTTTGTACAAATCCTCGCTTCATAATACGCCCGTACATAAACCGCGGTGCTCCACGAGGCATTCGCATTGGCCCATAACCAAAACGACCTCCTCGAAAGCCCATTGGCCCAGGCAAATTTCTCAGCAGGCGACCACCACCACGACTCTCGTAACGCGGCCAAGCTAAATTAATGAGAAATAATTGCACAAAAACTGAAGAGGATTGAAACGCTATTAGTCATTATCTAGGATATGTTATGAAAACATACAAAGAACAAAATTAAGACTATGTGGAAGGTTTGCAAATAAAAAGCTAATTTAATAAAAATTTACAGCTCTCATACGAACTGATCTAATACAAACTAATTACTCGCAACTGATGTTATTTTCTAGGAAACATGGAAGGTCTTTCAAATATTCTATGTTAATCACTTGTGAACAAGAAATTTTATTTGATGCTGTTATCTTGACCTCATTTCATTGATTACAATTAGAAAAAAAGACCCGATATTAAAATGAATAGGAGTCAAACTTACAGTGGTATGATGATGCAACAGGCTGTATGAATTCACCCTGAAATTAAATTAGATGGATGCATCATTCTATCATAAAACTAAACTATTTCGAAACTTATGAAAACATAAAGTCAGTGAAGTATTATAAAAGCCGCTGTAAATGACAACCATGACGGGTCTTCAGTTGACTGAGATCATTATCCAATTCTTCTGGACGACCAACTTTCCAGTGGTCTTAAGAAACTTACACGTATAAACTTCAGCGTAGATCAAATCTTTCATTATATAAAAAAGAAAAACTCTTCACTGGAATGTTGGATGAACTTTGTCATTTCATTATTATAGTTTTCGTAATCCTCCTCTCTTCTAGCTATCTCTTTCCGTTCTCAAACCTCAAATTTCGAAACCCAATTCTTCAATTTCATTTCTTACAAAAGAAAAAAAAGTTAAGTAGTTGGCAATGTATAGTTTGGCATGCAGTAAGACAGATGTAGACGAGACGAGACTTTAGAGTCATAAAATTATCAGTGTGCAGTCATAACGAATCAGAATAAATTGTGTTCGCGATAGAAATCACTATAGTAGAACAGTAATCTATAGAGGAAGCCCCATGCAGTGTAAGCGATGTAAGCATCTAAGGCAAATCAACGTCGCAATACTGTTTCAGTTTTCATATTATTTAAAGAGCCTTTTAAAATACTAATTTTGAATTTTTCAGTATCAAAAGAAAGACTAATAATAACAATCCTGAAGCAAAACTGGTAATAGTGACTAAGACAAAAGAAGCAGTAATAATGGAGCTAATGAAAGAATATGATTAATAATAGTGATTCCGAAATGAGATATGATTTGCTTAATGACAGCTGACAATAGTTCAAAAAAGTGTTGCTAACGTCATCATGCACCAATGTCTTCTTAATAATGTCTTAATAATAATATTATCAAGGAAAATATACTTTCAGTATTAACGTATTTGCCTGAAGTATGTGCGACACTACTTACGTGCCATATAATAAAACATCTGTCAAAAAGCAACAATTTTCTTGCGCTTTTAGCGACTTTATCTTCATTTGTTCGATTTCAATCGTTCGAGCAACTCATCTTTTTTATTAGACAGACATAAATATTATGATCTCTTAGAAATATTACATGCTTTATGTCTACTTTTTGACCTTCTCAAGCTATTTATTATGCACGCGTATTTGCATCGAACCGATGCATGCTTGCATGCATGCATGAAGCCTCACCTACTGAGCGCGTTATCACACGAAACAACGACACCCTACCGAATCCATTCACCGCGCACGTCACCGAGCCGAAAATGCGTCTTGAATATCGGCGAATATCCAATGACCAGCACGAGCAGTTCCGCAAGTTGATGAACAGAAACACGGACCGATGTTTAATTTAACGCTCGACGTGTAGTCCGTTGAAAGTCAGCAGGCCAGTATGTATTTATTCTTGTCCCTACTGGGATTTTAGGTGAAAGTTTTGGTGGGGTAGGTTCTTTGATTTTAATTATTCAGGCAGATTTCAGGTGTGTCACGATGAAATACCGCCATCGTTTTAAAGGTCGAAGTGTTGGCCGTCGCATTGCGAAAGGGAAAAGGTTAATTATAGTTGAATTTTTATCTACAACATATCAGACTATATCTTATGCAGTGTTGTACTAACTGTTATTATGTTTGAGGCGTATACAGTCACTTAATTCTATTATAGCATTAAAAATTTTTAGTTAACATTGCAGTAGTGAAAGTAATCCATCAATAACTCGACATCGTGAGGCTGCAAGAGCAACTCGTATCACCCAGAATGTGTCGTTCATACCGGCAGATGAAAGTTATGATGTCAAATTCAACGATGAGAACGTGGTGTTAGAGCAGATACCCTTGGTTACTATTGATATATTTTTATGTAAATTTTGTAATCCTTAATAATTCATAAAATTTGGAAATTACTTCTTTCAAGTGTACATAAATTTAACGACATTTAAAACATAATAATTGATAATTTAATTCCAGCATAAAATGCAAATTGACGATGCTGATGAAATTAAAAGTACCAGAAGTAACTTTTCGGACCTATCATCAGCAAAATCACAACTTTCACAGTTCACGTCTTGTACAAATCCAACTTTCAATCCTGTGCATCGTATCTGGAGGTGCTTATACTTTATTCATAATAATTGAGAACTGAATTTTGGCCGTTTTTTTGCAAATTTAAAATTGTTTTTTTATAAATAATTGTTTTCAAGAGGAAATTATAATGGACTTTTAGGAAAGCCTTTTGAGTAGTTTAGTTCAGATTAAAATATTTTAGTCCTTTTTAAATTATCTTCAAGCTAATTTTGACTGAATAGCTTCGTTATCTTGAACGAAATGATGAAGCCAATTTTTGATTAGATGAAAATAATTTTTAGCATGTCATTCTTAACAGTTTTTGAACTAATATTAATTCATTTATAGATCAGGATCAGTACTGCAAAATGAAGTACTCGCCGTGCTTGCAGCAACTGCAGAACTGATTAAAGATAATAATGGAACAGAAAGTAATGCTGAGTATTTTGCCGCACTTCTGACAGTTATCGAAGCAATGGCTGCTATAGATGAATCAAAATTAGCTGCGGCTGCTTATTTGTTAGGTCTTGTCGCCAAAAAAGTCGACAAAAGTGTGTCACGCAAATGCTTTTCTAGAGCACATAAGGTTTTTTTTTTTTTATATATTGCTAAAGATTCAAGATATTAATGTAGAGTTTTTGTTTCGGTTGTATTAACAGAAGTTGCAGTATGAAAGTATTATAATTTATTGGTTGTGTAAGCATCAAGAAAGTATTTTTCGAATGAAAACTTTTTTATAGTTTCAGTTTGTTTTTTAAAAGTTAGAGGAGATCTTCTTAATAATACTGTGCATAAAATGGTACACTAAAATCAGTACATCATGCACTCATTACTGTTCTACTTGCACTATTTACTTATATGGAAATAGCTACAGCAATCATATTGCTTTCACTTTTTGCTTGTATGCAGATTCTGGAAAATAAGCTTGATAGCACTCAGCTGGATGTTGCTCTGGCGAAACTGATTGTTACATTAGGAACGATTTTGCATCAGCAACCTGCCAGTGTTTGGCAGAGCAGTAGTACCAGGTTAACTCTTTCTGGAGTCAATTACTGATCTCTACATGTTTTGTTTTTTTTTATTTCTTATTTCTGTTCATATATTGTCGTCGCCCAAAAATATTTTATGGTGATGCGTCGACAAATGTAGTGATACAAGTTAAATATTATCTCCATCCGTCTTCACATTATTTTATTTACTGCGAAATGTTTGCCATCCAATAAACATTGAGCTTTGTACCCTTGTAGAAAAGTATCGATAAGCTCTAATTGGATTTGATGCTGTACAAGTTTTTAATTGTTTGAAGGTTATCACTAGTGAAAATTGAAATATTTGCGATCCATGATAAATCTTTGGTTCGCACCGCAGCTCGACGAACACTGCGTACCATTCTCAGCGATCCTATTATGATTACATCTAATGGTTACCATCGGGGCGCCAGTGTAGTTGGCAAAGTGTTAATCAAACAAGTAGAACAAAGTGCTGGTAAGTAGTTTGCTTCGTATTTACAATTGATGAACATAAATAGCAACCTGAAAAATATTTTAAGTAACTGTGAAAAGGTTTCAATCAAATATTAGATTTTTTGTAATCCATGGTAAATAAAAAAATTAATATTTTCTTAATCCATTAAAAACTGTCCGTTGTTATAACTCTCATGAGATGCTTCATTCATTTTTTTAAACTTGAATTTAGAATTATGGTGTTATTTATCATTAGTGATTTTATTTAATTACAGCCAGTGTAGATGTTGATTTATTACTTCGGTTGTTATGTCTGGCAGAAAATATTATGCATAAAATGCCACCTCTAATATTCAAAAAGTTTGCGGAGGCGACATTTGCATTACTGTATATTTCGGATTCTGGTCTAAAATGCGCAGTTTTACAATGTTTTCAAAAAATTCTACGGCAGCAGCCGGCTGATACAACTTTACCTTTCAATACTAATGTTCTTCTGATTGATTTGTTGCGTGATTTCGCATCAAGAACTATGGATCCATCTGTTTTATGTTCCTGGATGGAGGTTTGCCTACATCAAACATATAATCTCCAATCTAGATTGAATTTTACAAATAAAACTAGATTAATCGAGCTTTTCTTCTTTTCAATGTGATAATTTTCTACACAATAAGTGACGAATATTTTTAGGCTCTAAGTGAATCGCATCTTTGTCTCGCTATGAAAGATGTTACAAAATCAATGGCAACGCTAAGAGCTTCGTTGAAACCGATTTTCCAAACATTCGATTTGGGAATAGATTCTATTGCCTTGGTAGTGCTTTTTTAAAAATAGTTTGATTGTTAAGTTTGAAGTAAACTTTTTAAGCAATGTCGTATAGACAGTTATTTAAAACAAGATTTTTGTCTCCTAAAATGGCAAGAACTTTGACGTAAATTTGGTTTCTTTAATGAATGATTTGGATCAATACAAGATCTTTTATCTTATTTTTTTTCTATTTGTTAATTTTAAGATAATGTCGAAATTAGATTTAAGATTTGAGATTAAAATTTTTTTAAATTCATGTATGGAGTTGGATCAGACTGAAACCAAGACAGGATTCCTTTTATAATTGAGATAATTTCGAAGCGAACATTCTCAACTAATTTGTTACCTCAGTTTTTTTTTCATCTGTTAAAATTTGATGTTTTATTATTTTAGATAACTTGCAAAATAATTGGTCGCATAATTGAACACTGTGTGCAATCAAATAAGGAATTGGCAAGTTACTCTGTTGATCTATGTGATGAAGCTTTGAATCCACGAAGTGCTGCAGTGTGGCAATATGTTCTTCGCGCTGAAACAAAAATATTCGAAATTTGCAAAGATGCTATCAGCCAAGAATCGTTTGCGCGTGCATTGAAAACTCTAGCGGCATTGCGTAATGATATTAATCGCTACATTATACCTGATATTGACTTGGTAATGACTTACATTTTGGCAAAATTGAAGCATTCAGTTTTTTGCCTAGAAATCTAAGTCTTTTGAGTGAGATCTGCAAGAGCTTCTGTATGAGGAAATCTGTAGTTTTTTTTTTCACATTCAATTGCATGAATTTCTCTACATTGAAACTGTACCGCCTTATTCACTCTATAGCTTAGTGTATTTAGCCAAAGAAGAGTTTAGGCTATTGGAGCAGCAGTCCGACATATTGGGGCTGAGAACGTCTTGCGGGTGTTGCCATTAGAACTGGATCCTCAAAATTTGTCATTGGCAATCCAGTTCGAAAGATCTTGGCTTTTGTCTATCTTACGCGCAAATATTTGCAACCAATCAATTGCTTTAGCATTACGGTACTTTCTGCCGTTAGCACACCAACTTCGAAAAGAAGCGCCAATCGATGCTATAGGACAGAAAACTTTTATTACCATCAGTGTAAGTCAGCTACTTATTTATTTATTATGTCTTCTTAACTTCTGGAGCTTGAAAGTTGATGGAGTTGCTTTAGATGGTAACTTTGATATAGAGGGCGACCTTTTTTTAAAATGATTTTTTTTCTCAGGTAAACCGCTTTTTTTAGAACCAATTATGGGATTTATTACCGAGTGTATTGAGCTCAGCAACTGATTTCGAACAAAATTTTCCCTATCTAGCGGAAATTTTGGGTAAAGTTTTACTTGAACAACGGGATTTGCGTTTGATAGTATTATCTTCGCTTCGTAGTGCACTCCGCTACGCACTCCAGCCGGATGCGACAGAGGCAAGAAAGGTTTGTTATAGCCTCATCTTATTTTCTAAAATTTTAGATTAGACTAGACATATGTATATTAATAGTAAACTAAATGGATTGTTTGATGTTTTGTGATAATTTAGGCTTCACTTTATTTTATTATTTTAGGATACAATGCGGTTTTTTGCATACAGTTTTTTGCGAAAGTTATTTACTTTGTACACTGTATCCAATATTACTATGGAATCTATGCAAGGCATAACTGGAAATAGTCTAAAAACTCTGCGATGTTCAGTTCTGGAAACTGTTCGCATGTATGTGGACTTAACTGCAAATAATGTGGTTGATGATTTCATAAATTTAGCTGTTAAAAAAGCACAAATCAAGGAAATGGATTTGGATCAAAAAGTATGTTTCACTTCATATTTTACAATGAAGGAAGTGGGAGAAGAGGGGTTAAACTATATGAAACTTTAATGTGGAAAATAATATTTCGATTTTATTTATGATTGTTATGAAACTTCATTGTTCGTCCTTCTTGGTTAGGAAAAAAAGTTTTTCTTTAAATTTTCATGCTATTCATATTTTTGTTGTTTAAGATCCGGGTTTTGGATCTTATGGCAGTACTTGTGAAGAAAGCAAATGTATCGGGATTAAACAATATATTTTCGACTGTACACGCATGGTTTACAAGTAGTGAAATAGTACTTCAGAAGAAGGCATTCCGCATTTTGGAAGAAATTATGAAACGAATAAATGATGAAGCTGTGACCAATTTTTTTGCTTTGTGCGCCGATGAAATAAATAATGTGCTTGATCAGGTAGATCATTTAAATGTCATGATTATAGCAAAGTTCATAAAGAAGGCAATGTTTATTTGAAAATATAATATTGCAGGATCTGGATAGTATTGCGAAGAGTGCACGAGCCGCATTGATCTCTGTATATTATGTTAAATTGTCTTCACTAACTTCATTTGAACATGCAGAAATTTTTGGGGAAAAGTTTCTACCAAGAATTATTGTCTGTCTCGACAAATCACACAATATTCGAACACGTTCAAATGCATTGAAATGCTTCTTGAAAGTGTGTCAGCAACTAATATTTTTAGGTTCAGATGAGAGGTTAGTGTACAAAAAAAATACTTTTCGTTTTTGAAGAGTGTAACTGAAAGTTTTAGAAACTTGAAACTCAGTGACTTTTTTCTAAAGCATGTACCATCAAAAACCGATGCTTCATCGTAAGGTGTTTCGTTCCTACAGCAAACAATATATTTTTATATTTCTTCGATTTCATAAAGTTGGTTAGCAGAACATTTTAGAAAGAGTCCATCCAGTGTACTTCATCCAGTATTGAATATAATTTTTGGTATGTTAAATCCAGAACGATTATGTCCAAATGAAGACTTGTTTGAAATCGTGCGGTAAGCCATAGTTTACGAGTGAGATTTTCTCAAATTTGTAGGTTCGTAGCAATAAACATATTCACTTTCATTCATTTTTCTTTTCGTCAGAAATCAGTATTGGCAATCTTAATTATATGCAAATATATCATTTTACTAAACATAGTAAACATATTGCTTTACAAATTTCTATTTTGATTAATTTTAAAAACTATGTTAATTAAAGAACCACTGTGTTAATCCTTTTATTATGTAGATCATCAACCATTGCTCTGAATGTCATAGCACAGAAATTCACTCGTATTTTGGATACTTCACTGTTGAGTCGTCTTATATCGCATGCATGCAGCTGGATTGGTGATGAACGCCCCGTGATAAGAGTGCTAATTATCAGATTATTACGAATGCTAGCAAAGAAGTTACCAGATTATACAATGCGACAATACCAGGTTAGGGAGAAATCATAATGGTCTCCCCTGACCAAATTCTGGAAGTAAAGATAATAATGCTTAAATTATTCCAAGCAATATAAATTGCTTATCGAATTGTAGGAATTGCTACTTTCGGCTGTTTTCGACGGTCAGTTGACAGCGGATGTTACACAAAAAGTTCGTAAAGCGAATAGGCTTCTACTTGAAGTTTTAGTCGACAGATATGGTGCTGAGGTTTTGATGACTCGAACAAATAAATTGGATTGGACTAAACAGCTGAAAGCAATTGCTAAAATAAGGCTTGTTTTTTGAAGTATTTCCTACGAGACTATTATTGAACAAGATTTTTTGATTTCGAAGTTATTTGTATGAAATGCTTTAGTTTAATATGTTTTATATTTTTGGTTTACACAGTTGAAAATTTAAATTATTCTCTTTATAGACGCCGCCGTCAACGTCGAAGTGGAGCCGAGGTGCCGAATACGGATATCAATGAAAGGCGAAATCATGATATGATATCCGTGGCAACAAGTGCTCGAACTGCGAATGCAGATACAGTACTAAATATGTTTTATGATATTGACAGTGTATGTTTTACTCTGTAACATTCAAATTTTTAATTATAGGCAGGCTGAAGTTTGAAATGACGTAGTTGCAAATCTGGGAAGAGAAAATGAAGAACTTAACACAAAATTACAAAGCAAATTAGGTTGAATGTTGTTATTCGGCTGTAAAGCATTTGTTTATTTATCTTTTTTTATTTTCAGGAAAATGAAGTAGAAATGGATCGTGAGTCAATTGGAGGTCGAACACGAGGCAGTTCAATTTGGTTAAAGAACGATGATGATGAAGATATGATGGATCTGCTCGATCGAAACAAAATACTGAAAAAGATTGCAACAACTCGGTCTGACTTATTGAAAGATAAAAAGCGAGACTTCCTAAAAATGATCACAATTACTCTGTCCGACCTTTTATTAGTTACTTTTGCTTATTATTCATTTGGTTTGATCATTCAGGTGATTGGCTTAGAATTCTCTTTTAATGTATTGAGCATCTTTGGGATTAATCGAAGTTTTTTATGGTGGGAATTATTAGATATTCGGACGAGAAGATGAAAATTTTGTGGTGTTTTAGATTACAGGAACCGAATGATAATGGTAATGACAAGTGTAATAGTGATTTCAAAGTAGCGAAAGATGGACGACTAATAATTGAAAATCTGGATACAAGTCAACAAGACAAAAGGAAACGGAAGCAACTTGAAGAATTATTAGATATGCCGGACAAGAAGATAAAAGCGGACAGTGATTCGAACAGTGACAGTGATCGTGACTACGACAACAATAGCAAAGTTTGTTTTATTTCGTAATTTGCTATGCTTTTTTTCCATAGTGATGTGCATATTAATATCTGGGTTCGAAAAACAATCGATTGTGGAAGTCATCTGATTTTTATAAGATAGGAATGCGATCGCTAAATAGCTTTTACTAAAAATTTTATTCAGATCATAAATAAGAAGAAATCTGGTTGGAAACATGGTGGGAAAAGCATTCACAGGAATGTTTGTAAAAATGCCACTGGCACTACTTCTGACAATGAATTTTCAAAAAGACGAGCTACTGGAGATGTCAGAAAAAAGAGTGAAAAATATGAGCCGTACCTATATATACCAATCAGTAAACGTAGAAGAGGAAAGGTATGATTATTGTTTAGATTTTGGACACATACAGAAATTTTTGTCATCATCGAGATATTCGCTGGTTCCCAATGACTAGACCGAATTTCAGATCTTGATAAAAAACAGTTTCTGTTAGATATACATTCTGATTTCAGAATGAACTGAAGATGTTAATAAAAGGGACAAAGAAAGGAACTGCAGTTGCTTCAAAGGTAAAGAAAATGCGTTGTTGAAGAACTTAATATATCACTAGCATAGTGCCATCCCTGTTGAAAATTTTGGTGACCCTTGCTAATTTTAAATATAATGAAATGTGGGTTTGATGTTACAAACTGTTCAATTCATATTACTATTTGAAATCAGAGCTAGGTTGTGTTTACCAAAAATTATGAAGGAAGGTATTGTTGTTGCTCACAGGTTATTTTCGTTTTCTGTTACTTATGTTCTGTATTGAAATAAAATGAATTTACGTTACATAAACTTTATGCAGTAAAGTGATAATTTAAATAAGTTATTTAAACCAATCAATCAGATTTTTCCGTACTTTGTTACCTATATGGATATTGTTGCAACTTTTTTATAATAAAGTTGAGGCTGTGTCCTCGTTGTAACAAAAGTTTTCAGACTATAGTGATATGCAAATTATTGTAGTGATAAAGCATCTTCCGATAATTCCATGGTAAACACCACTGGAGCTGTGCAAGTTATCGACACTGTGTCGCTAACCATTTCATTAGATGTGCTGATAAGTTTGCCAAATGCAAGCTCTGTCTTATCTAGAAATTATTCAAATTGAAGAGCAACAAAATAAAGTGCATTTAATAAAAGGCATACAGAAATATTGAAAAGATTTGAACTGAGGCGGCCTTGTTTCAGAAAATTTTGATTCCTGTTTTACTATGGATTTTTCGTACCGAAATTTGATCAGTGACGTCTGTCATTAATCAAATTTCGGCACGAAAAATATAAAAACATGAGATTATCAAGAAAAACTATAAGATTTCATTCCAATACCTAAATTCCATTTCAAGCCACTACAAGATACGATCGTTTCACGCTGGATGAGAGGGATAACTCCACATTTTCCTGTCAGAAGATGCTGTGCTCCAGTGAACTCTAAGTTTGTAGAACCCTAAAATGAGTAAATAAATGCTAACAATCACATACAAATGAAATTATCTAATAATATAATCGAAAGTTCAATTTTTGTGCATGATTTGCAGATTGACAACAAAATTTACATACCTCGCGCAAAATCGTGACCAAGTTAACACCATCAATGATTATAATTTCACAACTATCGAACTGCAGTATTGAGTGCAAAGATGACAACACATGATCAAAACGTCCAAACAATCCGCCCAAAACAATAACTTTTGAGATCTTAAACTTGGTTATATGAGATATTGAACATGACGTCCTATTTTTTAAGAAATAGTTCCTCTCATGTTCTTTAACAGAATTCTTTTCGAAAACTTTTTAAACGTCTCGAAATTTTTTCACATACATTTAATTTCTTATTTCCCATTCTCTCAGCAATAATTTGCAATGCTTTGCTCATGTCGGTGTAGTCTTGATCAGGTGTTTCCACGATTTCAACCTGTGATTCGAAAAATTTTTTCGTCACAAAGGTAATAGAATCGAAATCGCCAGAAATCAAGTCAGGTTTTAAATAATTTTCATTCCTGTAAATTCCGAATTTTTTTTTATTCCAGATAAATTCCAAATTCCAAAATTTTTATATCCAAATTTTTTTATTAGTTCAGGCGTTAACAAAACCACATAAACAAAAACTTACTTAACCAGGGGCATGATGAAATTAGCCGCTCCATCGGTACAGCCACGAAATGTACTTTTGTTCCATAAATGTTGCGCCAGTTTTGCTGATGATTGTTCCTGTTGCGAATTGACCCATAATACTCCAATCTCATCTGGAAATTACTGCCACACTGATAGAAATGTGCCCCACCGGTTGGATAAAATATAGCCAAAATAAAGATGCTAAATAATTCTATTATGAAATTCAATTTCTTAATAATCTTTTAATCAGTAACCTGCTCCTGAACAGCTGCTAGCAAATAGGTGCAACTTCCCCCTAATTTCCAGAAGACCAGACTATCATTAGATGAGGAATAGAGTTTAGGGTATAACTTTGTATTTCTCTTTCTGAAAACAAAAGAACGCTGCGTGTATAATTCACGATGTTAAAAGTTCAAAGTAAAATAGTTGAATAAACCTTTTCGCAGTAATGGACTCAACAGTTGTATTCTCATGTCCAGTTGGAGAAATATTACTGCGCCAGCTGAAAAAATAATATTTTAATAGTTTTATCATATGGAAGGAGTATGGAAAAAGACCATCTTCTGAAAATAGTCAATTCCTCGAATAAAAATCCTGTCGAGAATTACAGAAACGGAATCTCTGGGTTACAAATAAACACGAAATTTCAAACTCATTATGCAAACGGTTTTATATTCAAACGGCATACAAATTTGCATAATTTGTATGCCGCTTGCATAAAACGAATGAGAATCATTTGGAATAGTGCCACTATAAATTGCTAACCGTATAAATACCAATTCTGGAAATGAGAAAAGTTATTACTTTCCCTAGAAAGGGCACACATTATTTTTTGTGAACGTTGAACATCACGTGGATTGAATGTTTAAGAGCTCTCGGGAAATGTTGACCTTTACAGGGATGGTGAACCACTAGCGATATAGGATGATTGAATTCATCGTTGATTCATCATCGATTATGAGAGACGTAACTTTTTCTGAGCATACTTTAAGACAACAATCAGTGGTGTGTAATGGTGGCAAACAATATGATCGATGATGTAAGTAAAATTATAGGAGGTAAATTACAAAAACTCTTTTTTCGTTTCAATTTAGTATATCTCAGTATATCTCAGCCAACTTTTACAATTGTTCTTCTATCCTTGCTCGATATATTGTGAATTTGAACGGCATTTCCGGATCAGAAATCGATGTTTTTCCAAGTGTCAAATGCCTTCAGATATTCATCTTTTCAATAGAAGTTCATTAGGAATTTGTAACTTGGAAATCCCTTAAATGAAAAATAAAATGAAAATATGTCCAATACTCAATCCCATCCTTTCAAAATTAACCTCCGGTGGCATCTAATCCCCGCCATATTTCCAGCAGTGCAGCACTCTCTATTGGTACGATCTTGTTTCAACGCGCGTCAGTCACTCGTCTTGATTTGGAGAGTTCTGCTACGAGGGAATTGGAGAGGTGGGAGAGCACGGGGAGGAGGGGACGAGAGTTGTTTGAAGTGTATGTGAAGATTTCAGATTGGGAAAATATTTAGCAACGATGGCTTTTCTGTTCACTCGTTTGGTTCGTTATGTTATCTTTGCAATTGTACTGTATAGTGTAGTACAGTACATGTTACGATGGAAGTCGTATTCTATTTCACCAAAGGTTTTCCGACAAGCTTGTGCTGCAGCACACGGTATATCCTATTGCTTTTAGTTTTTTGAAGTTAAAAAAAAGAGAATTCCTTGGTTATGTCTCTCTTTTCCCTCTCATAATTCTCTCCATAGTTGCTTGTATCAAATGAACATAGAAGATTTTATCTAGGGTGTGAAAATTTAGATTAGTCATGTCGAATGGTAGTATGCTAAAGAGTAGACTATCTTTATACTTCTTACTATTTCTCAATCTCAATTTTTTCTTAAGTTTTTTCATTATACTTTAATGTTCTCTTTTCTAAATTATTTCTCCATAATAGGAAGTAGTGGTATTTCGAATGTAAATAAATTACGAAGCGATTTACGTCGTTCATATCCATTGCAAATCATCGACAGCAACTGGGAAGCTGTTTATGGTGGTGGTTTGAACGTACAGGCAAATATTCTTTATGCATCCATTACCGAATTTATCATTGTTTTCCGTGCACCGTACCGAACAGTCGGTTTTGCTGGTAAATTTTCTAACTCTTTTTTTCAGTATTGTCTCAGAACACACATATGTATATTCTATATTTTGTTTGAAATCAAAGTAAGAGATTAAAAAAATGCTATGATGAGGAGCACTGTCTTTTTCACAAATCATAAATTAATGCAGTAATACAAACGATATTTAAAGTACAAAAGAGAAATTATAAGAAAGAATAATCGAATGTTGCTTCGACAATGTTATTAAATCAATCGCTGTTATAATTCCAAAATGATTGTGTCCACGTAAATTAATAAAGGATAAACAGACCTGGAATAGATTTACGTAAATTAATAACATAAAAGTATAATTTACCTAAGCGGTCATGTTATTGTTAAACTTAGTGATTAAATCAAAAGGTGCTCTGACGTTTGGATTAGTTCATTGTTTAATATCTGAAATCCTCCATTTCCGACATGTAAAGACTTTTTTTAGGATGGCACTGGGTCAACAGCACATGTACGGTTTTGAGCGGCGGAGTAGTGCGTACTGCTCATAGCGCTTATAGTGGAAATTTGGACAAGTTTGAACCTGGTCAGTTAACATTCTTTGATTACAATTCATTATTTGGACATTAATAGAGCAACGAAATTCATATTAATTCTTTTTACAATATCTAATGTACTTGTTCTAAAATAGTGAGAATAGTTCAATTCATCATAATTAAAACTTTCCAAAACTCACTGTCAGACAGTTCATAATTCAAATTGTATTATAATTTCCCGTTTATATGATTGAAAATTCCATTCTTTATAACATGTTTTTTCGTTAGTGGAGATAAGTTTGGTTTTTGATATAATTGGGAGCCATCATTGAACTGTTTATAATAATATAGGTCAGAACTTTCGTCATGGTGAATTTGAACGATATACTTATGAATTTGCACCCGATTCATACATAGCGTGCTATGGACGCGGTGCTGTACCTTTGAGTGCTGCATGGATGGGAATGGGTTCTCTGGCGAATGGTGATCCGATTTCGTTTGCGAAGCTGCTCTATGTCTATAACAGTGCTTGTATTCACCAAATTAAACAGTCATTAGTAAAAACATTCAATTATTATAAATCAAAGGCTCTAAAGACCGAGTTATAATTTTTCAGTTCCACCGTTTTCATTTTTTTTTTTGCCCAGAATCTTTTGCTCAAGAAGGTGTTTAGTCACAATGACTCTACTTGTTTAAATGCGTGACCTTACCTTTCTGTTTGGCAAGGAGTTAGATTTATGGCTATTATCGAAGTTTTTTACATTACTATTTCCCATACAATTTGTTTTCAAGCATTTGTAGCGCGAATTGCTAGTGTTGCTAATTCTTCCACTAATGACCTCGATGCGAAAATAGCTCATTGTGGATTAATGTTTGATGAAATACTTTGCTGTTTGTATTCTCATGTTTTATATCAATATTTCATTCCCATTCGATTATTTATTAATAGACAAAACTGCATATGGTTGCTTTTCTCAACAACCAGTAAGATAAGTACATATCTTTACTTATCTTCATTGTTTTATTCCAAGGAGCTTTTTTGACACTGATAATATATGGTGTTATACTATGATTCGTAAGAAAATATGTATTTCTTTGTTATGAATGATTCTAGTCGTATGACTCATGCGTTGCGTGACTGACAATCGGAAATTCTTCAGAATTTTAAAGATAGGCGTCTCTCAAGTTTCTAAACGATCCCTCACAATCTGTTTAGGGTATTGAAATATATCAGTAAGGCTATTAATTTAAAAAATTGTTTGGGTGAAAGTGTGAATTTCTGAATAAAACAGGAGTCATTGTGCTGTTAACATCAGTGATACCGGCAAAAAAGCAACAGTTTCGTAGTGATTGCTTTTTCAGAAATAAATGTTAACTAAATTTGCATTTGAACTTTGGCTTCGAATGATCTCCTTAGCTTTTTCTGTTTCTCACTCTGATTCAACTTTCCATACTTTCTGATCTAGGTCCAAATTTTTATGTTGGGCTTTCAAGATTATTTAAATAAAAATCCCTGTAATCAAATTTGCCTATGGTCTATATAATATGTTGAAAACCATGGAGATCATTGTTTAGGTCTCCTTTTATAAGCACCGACATATCGACGTAAACACCCGATTCCTACTATTAGAACACTTATGGTGGAAGACTGATATGACAGAAGTGATAAGATCTCAGCTTCCTTTCCGCTATACTTTCAGGTCAAATCCACTTATTTTACACTCTTAAATAGATCAAAAATGACACAATGATGATCAAAAATGAGGACCGAGCGGCTAAACTTTGTCGGAATGTTATAAAAACTTTATTCGCAAATGTCAACATGTAAGCAAGTCAACGCATAAAAATGGGGAAAAACTAACTGGATATGAGGTTGTTATCAAGACATAAGGATATTTCAGCTGAAAAACATTAAAGTGACTTAAAACAAGTTGTCTTTCTAAGTATCACTTTCACTTCAATGTTCAGAAAGGAGATTCGGAAGTACGTTCTTCCGCCAGTGGTTATAAATTTTTACAGTTGAGATTTGAAAAGCTTTAAGGAAGTAAAAAAGAGGCAGAATTTTTTTATAAAAGAAAGACTATTTATAATGAAAAGCCTTCACAGAGTGGGTGGCTGAATCAACCACAAAGCACATTCCACTCCACTTGGATGAAGAGGCAATAAAAACACCACAGGGACGTTTTAGACGTGATCCATAGCTATCCATTGAAAATAAGAAATTACCCTGAAAAGCAAAGTCTACTTTAAAAATTTTATTATTTCGAATATTTTGAGACCACTATACAATAAATAAAGCTATCAAAGCAACATTCGTTGTACAGTTCTACGTTTGGAAACTCCCAAAGAGCTCAATTCTTAAATTATTTTTGAAGTTGTTTTAAAACTCGAATCAAGTAAAACTAACATCCAATTTATTATAAAAGAATTCATAAAGTGGAGTTACCTTATATTGGCAAACTACGAGGTAGGCGCGATTTTTTTTTGAATCCACAACGGCCGAAACAATATTACCTGTCCGGGAACACACGGAGCAGGCTAGAGCCATCATTCGGCCAGGGTGTGCAGCTGAGCATAATGATATTTCACGCATAAAGCGACCTGTAAAAGAAATATTATACGGAAAATGAAATTTTGTGGAGTTCTATTGCTAGGGGCTACACTGATACTATGAAAACATGAAACGCAAAATGTTCTTTAATAGGGGCATCTATAATTTTTTCATTAAATTTATTTAAACAGTGCAAACAAATGGAATAAAACCGTCGAAATAAACGGGATAATACAAGTGAAATAGCTATTTTTCAAAAATAAAGCATACAGACAAAAAATAAACCTCCTCCATCATATAATAGTAATGCAGAGCACGTGCCTACAAGAATATCATCATTGAGACCAACACAAACACATGTTATAGGGGCCTGGCCTGTATGAGTTACAACACTAAAGCTAAATAGTGGACGGAATGCACTGTCAAAAACAAACACCTGAAATGGATATCAATCAGGATGCTTTCATATACAACACATTTGTATTAAAAGTAATGCGAAAAATGATAATAAGTTGAGACTTTAAAAAACATTCACTATTTGGAACTGAGAGGTGCTCTCATTAAGAATACTTACAGTAGTTGAATTGAATTAGGGAGCAAACAAAATAATATAAGCCTATAGTTGCAATTACTGTTTGCAATTCCATCTAAACATTAAGGAATAAAAATTATATTCTTTATGTCAAATTACCTTCATACACGCAGTATCAGCAATTAGGTATCGTCCACGGCTATCGACACAAAGATCAACAGGTTCCGCAAATTCGGTAAAACTCATGGTCTGTAATCAAATTACCATTACTATTGACAATATTTCCAACAGCACATTTATAAACTGTTGATGAAATGAAGATAAAATAGTATAAGGACAAAATTAAACTATAATTGTAAAAAATAAACCTGAAGAAGCTCCCCGGAAGAATCACATCTACACAGTTCTTTAGTTCTCCAATTCAACGTTAAAATATCACCAGACGGTAAAACTGTCATGCCAACAGTACTACCACCTTTGATTCCTCCACTTTTAATATCTTTGAGAAATTCTCCGTTTACATCGAGAACTTTTACTAAAAAAATTTTAATATTCTGAAGAGAAAGATGAACTCAAATATTGCTTATCAAAAAAAGATTGAAAAATGAATTTGCCAAAAAATACACTGAAGTGATAGTTCAATGGGTAATCGGAGTAACACCTTTTATCAAAATTTTTATGGTCAGAAAAGGATTATGAAATCAAAACCAACTTCGATTATTTCCAGTATCCAGAATATAAATTTGTTCACGTGAATCTTGAAATATTTTTACTGGCTGATTTAGCTGGAGTGCTCCTACTCCATGAGACCCGAAATGCCATTTTGGGCAGTGATGGCTACTTACGTTTACGGAAAAAGGGCTATTTTTGACCGGCCGACCAAAGATCGTTACCCGAATCGAGTACTGGCACGGTTCGTAGGCTCTAAAAAAATACTTCACAGTTCAAAAACTTATCAAAGAGATTACTAGAACATAATTTTTTGGTAAGTTAGGATTCATAATTAATAATTCAGAAGATTTAAAAAACACTGTAAGAATGAGATCCTGGGGAGATTCATGTCACAAAAAATCAAGAAATTATGTTACGAAATAAATAGCAAAAAAAGAAAAATTACTTGAAACAAATGGAATATGTTCCATCTTCCCCATCTTTAATTACTGCATCAATTTTTTCAGTATTGCTACTTTCATCTGAACTTTGTTGTCCCAATTTCGCCTTGACAATTTCTACCTTTACTGGATCCCCGCCACTGTCCCGGCGTTTACCATTAACATCATATGTAGTCAACATTAGATGCGTTTCTGTACATACACTGGATGTATCCATTAATTCTATAGTACACAGTCCTGGGAAAGTTGTTGAACCAGAAACTGCACCAAACTGGCTAAGTGACTTTTCGATTTCTGAAATTTCGCTTATATTTGAAAAGCAACCAACGGTAGCAATAAACATACTATTCCAAAAGTGAACATGTATACTTAAAAAATGACTTACTAAAGAGAAGCTTTTTGGTGTCCATGTGTAGCTTTAAGAAAGCATTTTCACGAGGTTCCGTTAATGCAAGTGCTTCTTCAGTAGCTATCATAACACGTGTCGTACGTGCTCCAATTTCGCGTACATCAACTTGGCAAATTTCTAATTCTCTTTCCAGCCTGGAAAAACATTATAAATAAAAACACAAATGTCTTAGTCTGCTCTCGCTAGCGATGGAACAAATACAACACCTGTCACGAACTAGTCGAATTTATCCTCAAAAATAGACTAGCTCCAGAGTAAACGAGACCGATTTACATATGAGTCAAGGCAGCAAAGTTCCAAATCATCGAAACAAACAAATTATTACTTCTTACGGTATGAGTCAATCAGTTCTGTCTGATCGCGCAATACTTTCTGCTTCTCGTCTCTCATCATTCGAACTGCATCAATCAATTGACGACGTCGATTCTCCACCAACTGACATATTTCCTGAAAGCAGCATCCAAAATATAGACTAACAAATAATCTTACCTTGTAAGCTCATTCCTAACTAAAATTTAGTTATCCTATTCTAACTCTTCTGATCCCTCTTTTTCCCGTTCTCCTACTTGGTGAATTTGCAAATTACTATTACTTAATAATTCCGTTTCTTCAATTTTCTCTTCATTCAATGCATTGTTCTCCTACTTGGTGAATTTGCAAATTACTATTACTTAATAATTCCGTTTCTTCAATTTTCTCTTCATTCAATGCATTTAGTTTCTAAACAGTTTTTGCAAGAAATGTTAATGCAATGAATCAATGCGCTTACTTGAAACGATGCATTCAGTCCATCTATAATATTATCAACATTTCGATCCAGCTGCAATGTCTCGTACTTTACATTAGCTGCAGCTGTATTCAAGCTTGCCACACACTGATTCGCTTTATATACAACAATTTCTGATAGGCGTTTTATTGCAATCGAAAAAGGAATCACAGTATGATCAGAGCAGTCACGCCTAAAAATTTTGTACCAAAAAATTTTTACAACAGTGATGTAATAGATTTCAGAAGAATACAAAATATTGAGAATACAAAATGTTTATTTCTTCTATTATATCTAACTTATTTCAAAACTTAACAGAATCCTACATTTTTTATGATAAACAACAACAATTGTTGTTCATCATAAACACTTCAAATGTAAGATTCTGCTAAGTTTTGAATACGTTAGATATAATAGAGAGGAAAGAGGAAATCCACCAATACTTACGTGGAAGGAGAATCACAATGCTGACAAAAAACGAGATCGCATGCTTCACAGTACAACAGCTGCTCTTGCTGGTGTACTGAACAGTTGGGTACAACATCTTTGCGCTGCTTCTGCATCAAATCAAGAAGCTGGTTAATGAGAAATGAAGAAGGAAACGCATTTGAGCCACCGGAAGGTAAAGTAATCATTTCACGACAAAGTGGACAACGTACGATTCCTGTCTCAATCACCTGTAATTTATCTTATGAAAACAGCATGAGTCAAAGTATTAAATTGTTTGAACTGTAATTTTTGCATCTTTGGATTGCTTTACACGATTTCTAAATCTTCAGTTATAACTCGTTTTATTCAATTTCTTATCTACTATTATGAACAAAAACTTTCCATCCTTTGTACTGCATTGTCAGCCAGAGTTCTGTAAAATTCGATTACTCATGTTGTAAGAATAATTCTAAATCTACAACTAATCGTCCAAAAAACATGCTTCTCATTAACATGAGAAAAAGTAAAAGCTAGTTAAGACAATTCCTATCAATTTCATTCCTTCTCAAGTTTCATTTAACGCGATTTTACTAATTCTGTCCTTTAAAGGATATGCAAAAAGATAAAAAATTCATTAATTGTCAAATCACTGGCAGTAAATATATCGATGGCTAATCATGTGGAACAATTAATGTTCGAATAAATGCTGAATTTCACTTAAGATCCAGTGACCCAATTTTTTCACTATAAAAACCATCATTTTCTTGTCCATAAGCCACAAAAATCGTCGGTTCCCATGGATTTACCTGTGGTAGTTGCTCCATACGTAGCAAACATTCCAGACATACAGTATGAGAACATGAAAGAAGCTTCGCTTTCTTTCGTTCCTAAAGAAAAAGGAAAGAATTTTCCCAACGAATATATACTTGCAACTGCATACATTTTTTTTCAAATTTCTCTAATTCCTAACCAAAGCATTTTGCTTCTGTACTGTACACATGTCCACAAAAATCGCAACATTCTTGACAGAAACGATGCTAAAAGAGATTAATTAATGATACAAAGCAACAAGGATTACCTGATCGTAAGTGCACAAGCATGTAGCACAGGTTAGAAAAGTTTCAGAAAAATCCTCCAGATTGATATTAACGGTTTCGATAAAGGTCGAGGCCATATGGCCGCGGATTAACCGCATCTGCTAACTGCTTGGAGCACTGCACTGCACAATCGACGCACAGCGAAATCTATCGATCAAGCCTTGCTGACAGATATGAGCTGAGATATGCACTATCAGTACAACAACAAATAATTTTTTCCATTGATATTCAGCTGAAGTATCCGTATAGACATCAAGAATCTCATCACGAACTCTACTATCTTGTTAAGAGCTCTGAAAACAGAATTAGGGGAAAATGTCACTGTCACTGATGTCGGCAACCACAGACTATTAACTGCTATGTGGCGGCACCCTACACAGACTTATGAGCAATCTACAGATCTTTTGCGAATATGACAATTTATTAACAAATGTAAATTCGTCATGAAACAGTTGCCTTCTGTACAGGTGATCATAATAATTTAAAATGTATAAAACAAAAACATCAGATAACATTTATGCCGCTGTGATACAATTTTTATGCAAAAATCCCGAAGCAAATGAATTGTTCTAATCTAATTATCAATTTAAATTTTAATGATTACATTTTGAGAAAAGAATCGTGAAAACAACAATTTTTATCAATATCTTTCTTGAAATAAAAAAAATAGAAAATAAACTACTGCACGTGTGATTAAAGATAAAATGTCCCATCCTAACTGATTTCCTTTTTTGATTAAAAATGTGTTAACTTTAAATCGAAAAATAAATGCAGTGTGATTACATAATTCCTGATTACATCTATATTTTCGAGTGTATACAATACGTTGAACTAAAAGCAATCCCACAATGATACCCTTTTGACCTCCGCTGAAGGTCGCTGGAATTAACTCCTCCTTCAAAAGATGGCTCGGCCAATTGCGAAAGAACAGAATGGAATGAAAATGTCTTAGTGTAAAGTGCTCGAAGGTCTTCAATAAATCTCGTTCAGTACGGGGAATGACAGTGGTCCAATTGAACTTTATCCTTAGTGACCGTATCGTTATTGCTATTACCTGCTTAGTTAGAAGGAAAAAATACTGAGATGAAAGATTCACCCCTCTTCATATTTGTCATTAAACTTAAAATTAACTCTACTTTATCTTGCTAATTACAGTGTCACAACGCCTATGCTGAGAATACATTTCATTTAACCATAATTTTTCAACTGTAAAATTTTCGTTCATAAAATCCACGAACTATTAACAGAAGTTATATCAATTCATCTTTAAATAAAAGTAAATGAATTTTAAAATTTTCATTAAATAAAGTATTATTAGTGAGAACGACGAAAGGACAAACTGAATATACAAAGTCGGGAAAAAGAAAATTTTAGGAGATTGTGATTCTATATGCTTAGTATATATTTTTTCGTGCTACCGATAACTGATTCAAAGCGTGCTAACAATAATCATTAATAAAGCAACAACAATAAGCTTACGCAAGCTTCAGAAGCTCTAGAATAGTTTTTGAAGATCCGTTTCTAAATTATTCACTACTTCGACGACAGTATCAATTTCTCCGAGAATCCGAACTTTAGGAATGGTAAAAGGTCGATAAAAAAAGATTTTTTAATAGTTGAATTCTAGATATCGAAAACAAACGATGTAAGAGAGATAAGTTTTACGAACTTTAATATTGATTTTTTCTAATTCTCATATTTTCATTAAACTCCATTCCCTATTAACTTCAAAATAAAATTTAAATCTCCGAAAATAGAGTTCATCATATGACTTCCTATGCTATCCGTGCGAAACTCATTTTGTTACTCAGTACATCTTTTTTTAGAAAAAATGAAATTGCATTATGTAGAATGGTAGGAGACGAGAAAGGTGACATGTACAGAAGAGAGGAGAGAGGACGGGAGAGGAGAGAGGAGGCGAGAGGGACGGGAGAGGCATCGTTGCACGGTTGTATCGCGTGAAAAAAAGGTCGCCATGTGGGGAGAGGTGATAATCAGTGATTGCCGGCCAGTAACTTTATCCTTCTTAACATCGTTAATCTTCTCATTCCGTATCCGTTTCCTTTTTTCTTTTATTCCAAGCAAGTCCTTTCACGGATGTATCCCGGTTTCCTTGTCATTTATTCTTCGAATCTTCATTTCTTTCATCCCATCCGTATAGCGCGAAGCATATGCAGCATTATATCAATCTGATACCAACCCTCACAAGCTTTCACTAAAGTTTTAAGTCTGTGATATCTTCAGCTCACTGATCTCATGGCGATCGAAATTAGGCCTAAGATCAATTACTTTCATGAAATTTCTAGTTCATCTACCACATACCTTTCATTTTCTAATCTTTTAAACTTAAAGAACGGAATGAGGGAAGGTGAGAAAGAGAGACCATCTAGCGCAGTCAAATGAAGAACGAGTAATTATTCGACGCCCTCCTCAGTAAGCTGCTTTCATGTCCACATCTCGCCTGTCCATCACACCTGTCCATATTTGCCTGTAGACTAACGTATGCACTTAGCCGAAATGTACTGCACTGAGCGTTTGTTAGGAAATTATTGCGGTACAAATATGAACTTTTGATGGGGAAAACGGAGACTGAGATTTCATTGAATTTATGTCTGTAGTCATCTAACGATCGTCATCCATTTACAAGAAGCACACGTGTGCCCTACGATTAGGGCACAGTGGTATGAGGAGATGTGATAATTTTGACCATGTACAAAATCTGAAACTTAGTTCGAAACTAATGAAATCTTTAATTTATCAATTTTCTACGTGAAATTCATATTCTCTGCAGATCAATGGATGATCATATACAAATCCATGGTGATAATACCTCGCCAACGACATCATGCGGTAGCGTGCTACCAAGGGATACAACTGAATCTGTGATACAGTCACTCACAAACGGATCTCGTATTAATGACGGAACTAGAAAACCTGACAAAGCGCCACTTATGCCGGGTATGGAAGTTTTTGCTGTTTTTTGGATATTCAGACTAGTAATGAAACATGAAATCAAGCAGTTATTTTGAAAGTCACTTCAGGCACCACAATTTGATCAAATTTTCCTTTAGTTCGGTATATTTCTAATCGTAGTTTTTTGTTCATCAGTATTAGTGTAAAAAAAAACTAATATTTCGCGAGCACATTAGAATTGTGTAAGAAATTTGTACAATAAGTATCACGAACAGATTTGTTATTAGGATGAGAAAGCAGAGCAGTGGGACATGGTGTCGGAAAATCCGAAAACTTATTAAATTAATCACATCAGTTGAGATTTGTAACACTAACAGTAAAATTTAAGAAGTTGTATTTCGCAATCTATCTTGTTAGCTACAGTTGAATTGTCATCGTTGTTAACTTTAATTCTTTGAGAGATTGCTTTATAATGCCTTTGTTCCTTAAATGTTCTTTGTCTCTATCGAAACCGATGCAGCTAACAAGTAATCCCACACATGGGTAATGTTAATGGAAAATGCCCAGGGTAATGACATATATTAACCTTATATATCGTTACCGTGGGGATTTTGACTTATCGTAATTTCTCAGTTGTAACGTGACGAATCATGATGGAACTTCTGTTTACAATGAAATTTAAATAAAGTATGTGAAATCCTAAGATTACTAAGAGTGCTAGATTGTGCCGCGAAAATACCCTCTTGCAGATGCTGTACCTCACAGTACCTAAGAGAAGAATCTTAAAATTATTTGCTTAATCATATGGAATAATTTTGATGCATGAAAATAATAACGAAGTAGAGAAAAATGCTTTTCCCTTTCGAGTGATATCTTTTATTCGAGTTTTCAGTAGCAATTCAGAGACGTGATCACTTTTATTTGTTGTAGTTTAAGTGTTAAATTTTTTCTTCATGTAATGAATTTTTAAACACTTTTGCTTGGTATGTGGAAATGTATCAGCTCCTCGAATCTTTTTTAATATTTCTTGCCTCACATAAATTTCATCATTGTCACATATTAATTACCTGATGATTAAACAAAATAGTGTTAGCTGGAAGGGAAGTTTGCATATTGATTTTGGACACTGGGGCACTTGTATTTTTGAATAGCTTCATGGTATAAATTTGAGAAGTGCCAGTAAACTTTATCATGCACTGTCTTATTCGAACTAGATGATTCATACAATATGATAACTAATGTAGATTTTCTTTTCTCAGTTGGTTTTATTTCATATCATTTATGAAATGCAGTGACCATTGGTATTGTTTTCCAACTAATGATTCTAATTGGTATAGGGATTATTATAATGATTTGAAGATGTGTTACCAGCACTCTGTTTTTTCTAAATAATTTGTTCGTAAGTTCAATTTCATGTTTAATTTAAAGCAAATATTATTATTCTTGTCATTTTTTGCCGGACAGAAAAGATGCTTTGAATTTCAGAATTTTTCAAAACTTCAGTCGTTCTACTGTCACAATAAGTTTTATTGTATGAAATAAAATATTTTTAGATATAGATACAAGATTAAACAGTGGAACTACGCAAATGTATACCGAGGAAAGATCTTATCTTCGTAAGTTTTCTTTTTTCGAGAAGAATTATGATATATATATATATATATGGTAAAACAGTTGAAATGTATTTTATAGATTCTGTGGATTTCGTAAATGCTGCTAAACCAAATGGGCTGTCTACACTTTCTGGTGTATTTGCACCTGTGGCAATTTCGATGTTTAGCGTTTTGCTGTTTCTTCGGATGGGTAAGCTTTTTTGGTTAAAGTTTTAGAAGATATTACATTTTCAAGAAAATTTCAAAGAATATTTTGCAGGCTTCTCGGTTGCTGTAGAAGTTAATTTGCTTACCAAGATTCTGAATACTTTTATTGATCAGTGTATGCTAATAATATTAACTTCTGCGCGTTCTTTTGTGATATTGTGCTTAAAACGCAGGACTATTTTCAAATATCTTTATTTAAAACAAGTGTAGTTAAAAACAGAGATTTTTTGTGAGTGGAAGAAAAAAGTTTGCTTCCCAGGAAATAAATAATGTGTATTGTATTTAAGGTTTTGTTGTTGGTCAATTGGGTTTCCTGCAAACAATTGCACAGTTATTCCTTGCATATACAATCGTTATGTTGACCGTTCTTTCACTTTGTGCTATTTCCTCAAATGGCGCTATCGAAGGCGGTGGAGTTTACTGTAAGTTGTTGTCTTTTTTTTCGTTATTTTGAAAGAGATTTTTCTTATTTTTAGATATGATAAGCAGATCACTGGGACCGGAGTTTGGTGGCGCCATTGGATTACTGTTTTATACCGCCAATGTTTTTTCTTGTGCATTATATGTGTCGGGATTTACCGAAGCTCTGTTAAGCAATATTAGTGAAGAAAGTATGTTTCTTTCATTGTTCTCAGTTAATGCAATTAAACTTTATGATGAATTAAGTCCAACATATAGGTCATTCGTTAAGTTATCTGTTAATCCAATTTAAATTAAGAATAAAATAATTATATATATGACATCAAAGTAAAATATTAATGTCTATAAAATGAGTAGTTTTGCTGAGCATACCATTGTGTTTCAATAAATATACTGACTTTGGCAAATGGTTTGTATGAGTGACAAACTGCATTTGCAATTTCAGGTTCACCATCTAGCGCCAGCTGGAAATTTCTGTGTTGTGTATTCGTCTCCTTTGTTCTGCTACTGTTATGTCTTCTTGGGGCTGGATTGTTTGCCAAAACAGCTTTTATTACATTTATTATTGTTTCTATTTGCTATGTTACATTTTTGTTATCAGTCTTCATAGTCGCACCATTCAATGTTCCGATACCAAAAACAAACGAAATTGCATATATGGTAAGTTCCTTTTTCAATTGCTGTGCAGGGTCACACTAATATTGTTTTACTTCGCAATGTTAATAAAATACAATTTTTCCATGTATTTTTTGAATATTTCAATTAAAATAGTTGATTTTACAGGTTCTGTCAAATTTGTCAGACCCGTCTTCTGAGAAAGTACCCGACTTCAACCAGACATTGAAAGCATCTTATACAGGACTCAGGTAGGTCTCGAAACAGATTCATAGTAAAATTTGGTATTATTTAGGACTTCTGTAATATTTATTTGGATCATATATTAATAAATTTACATGTATTAAAATCCTCTTTTGTGTTTTGTTTGAACTGGACAAATAAAGATTCAGATTTACAGCTTAAATATTTGTATATCCCAGCAAATACAAAGACAGAAATCAGATTAGATATTGACATTATTGAAATTATAGAACTTTATTAAATAGAAATAGTTCATCTAAAAAAACGATCTACTTGTTTTTTTGAGAACGGGATATGAGTTCAAATTTAGGTTCGCAACTCTTATTGACAATATGATGACAAATTATACATTTGATTACACAACGTCGAAGCCTACTGATTTTGCTGTGATGTTTGCAATTATATTCAGCGGTATTACTGGTGAGTTGCAAAATTGTGTTTAGGCAGTTAACTTGAAGTGTAGAGTTTTTGTGATTAAAATTACCACTTTTTTAGTTTATTAGTTTTAAGGCTTCTATTATAAATATAATTAGTAATGCAATCCTTCAATTGTACTTCACCTTATTATGTTCACATTAATACTATGTTTATGTCTAGCCAAATAGGTTACAAATTTTTTTTTTAGTTTACTGTTTTAGATTGAATTGGTAGTAATCAGGTAGAAACTTAAAGATTCGGAATTCTTCAAATGTTTATGTACAAACTACTGTAGGATTGATGGCTGGCGCAAATATGTCGGGTGAATTGGCACGGCCATGCATTTCCATTCCACGTGGCACTGTACAGGCCGTTTTCGTTACATTAATTGTATACATTACTACAGCATTTTTCACCGCTGCTACATGCAGCCGTGAATTACTTCAATCAAATTATTCTGTAAGCTTTCACTATAATTTTTATTATTTTTAAATCCGTAAGATCTCCTAATATATGAAATTTATTCCTTTTATATGTTCATTTTGCAATGGTACATTAAAAACGCATGTACTGCTAGCCTCAAAAATTTTCTTTTATTAAAGGAATTAAAGTCTCCAGAATGAGTTATTGGAATAGAGGATTTTGAAATTAATTGAAGGTCATGATGAATGTGAACATTTCGCCATTGTGCATTCTTATTGGTATATTCTCGACAACATTTTTCTCATCCATGAGTAATATGATTGGTGCATCTCGTGTCTTGAACCGTGTTGCACATGATAAGCTCTTCGGCTATTTACTTCATCCGGCGAAAATCGAAGTTAGCGGCGGTAACCCTGTCGCATCCGTGGTTATCTCATGGATTTGTGTTGTGGTGCTCTTTATTTTTTATGATTTGCTTTTATCTTTCAAATTCTATGAAAATAATGTAATCGATGCTCTGAAAAAGCTTATTTAAAACATGCAATACATAAGTACCGTTTTGACAAGATCATTTTTTACATTTCTTTTTTTCGTGATTTCAATTCTTTTTTTCATAGTTAACGAAAAAAAAGCATTTTTCCCACCATTTGTCTCTCATCGTATAGAAATATCAAATAAAAGTTAACGCCTCAAACTATACATTTTGCTTGATTAAATGGAAGTCAGCGATGTTGATAGAATGTTATACTTATTATTTGAAAAATATTTGCAGTTAGTTTTCTTGATTGGTGCGATGAATAGAATTGCCAAACTAACATCTATCTTTTTTTTATTATCATATATGGGTGTTAATATTGCTTGCTTAGCACTGGAATTAACAAGCGCTCCGAATTTCCGGCAAGGCTTTTTAAAAAATTCAATTTGCTATCAATGTGTTTAGATGTAAACCTTCTCAAAGTACAATTAACAAAAGATAATGAGAATACATGATAGCCATAAAATAATATAACCTGGTGAATGGTATGAATTAATCTACATTTTCTTCTGATGATGATAATACGAGTATGTATTAAATCCTACTTTTAAAACTATTTTTTAGGCCAACTTTTAAATATTTTACGTGGCATACTTGTGCAGTCGGTGTTATAAGTACCATAGTAATGATGTTAGTCATTGATGCTGCTATGAGTGCTATTGGCGTCATCGTACTTTTGATCTTGATTATAATTCTGCATTATCAAGTACTTTTTTTGCTGTTGAATTTTTTGTTCACTTCATTTTCTTACTTTTTTTTAAATATTTTATTTTTTAAATATTTTTAAATTTTTTCCAAAACATATTCTTTCAGGCTCCAGTAGGATCTTGGGGATCTATATCTCAAGCTTTGATCTACCACCAAGTACGAAAGTATCTTCTTCTTCTTGATGTCCGCAAAGAACACGTAAAGTATGTATTTCATCCTTATGGAGCAATTCTTGAAGTCGGGAAAATCTCCCTTTTTACAAAGTGGATTATTTGTTCCTTTATTATTCTGTTTCAGGTATTGGCGGCCGCAAATACTTCTTTTGGTTAGTCGTCCAGCTAGCGTTTGTCCGCTAATGGATTTCATCAACGATCTAAAGAAAAGTGGTTTGTATGTAATTGGTCACGTGCAAAAAGGTAGCATGGATGATAGCAGTCCAAACTTGGACCCGTTGCATGAGGTAGTTAGTTATGCGATTGCTCAGTGATTCCATGAGGCTTGTCATACATTTTCTTTTCATTCTCATGGCAGAATCTTTGTCCTGATTTTACTTTTAATTATTTTTAGTTTCCGCATGATAAAATCATTCAGCTGAACAGTGCTGACCAGCTTCTTCACCATTTTGAGTAAATGTTATGAATTTCTTGCACTATTAATCCAGTAATTTATATTTAGGTATTTCCATATTGGTTATCTTTAGTTGATTATTTGAAACTAAAGGCTTTCGTCGAATTAACCATTTCGAAATCAGTTCGCGAAGGTATTCAACAGGTAAATCTTTACTATTATAATGATGTTTTTAAAGTGAAGATAGAGAGGACTTACTTAGAATTCAAAGAATTTTTTATATATAATAGTTCAGAAAATATTCAGTTTGAAGACATGAATTTTTTTGAAGGTAATGAAATTTCGAAGTTCATGTTTTTGAGCACGTACTGAAAGCACTATTACCTCTCATAATTCGTAACTTGGGTTCCACAAATGTTTACGGACAAAAATCAGTAAGTGATCACCCGGAAAAAATAAAGAAATCTGACATACATCTGATGTAAACAATACAGCAGCTACTTTTTGGTCAATTAGGTTTATCTTCTTGTATTGAAGTAAAATGATTAAGTGATAACATGAATTTTTTCTTTTCATTTTTTTTCTCAAAAATTAATGGATTTCTTATCTTTCAGCTAATGCGTTTGTCTGGTTTGGGAGCCATGAAACCGAACACCGTTGTCTTGGGTTTTCATGAAAAATTTCCAACAGAAAATACTCTTGCTGAATCTTGTCTTTTGAAAGATCTTAGATTTTCTCGTATCGATCGAGCTGCTGTTGTCGAGTATTTCACTGCTTCAGATTATATGCCACGCGTTAGTTTCTCCTTTTAAATCTTTCATTTGGAGATTCTGATCTGCTTTAACTTTTCATGTTCTTATATATTACTTTTTTTATAATCCTTCAATATTTTTAAGAATTTGCAGTCATCTGAATTTTTTCGTGACACTTTTTAAAAACACTGATCCAAAAGATTCTGTGCTTTGCTGAATTTTGTTCTTTTTTTATACTCATCAAAAAATTTCTGAAGCAATTTTTCAAACTTCCTTTAGTAAACCTTTGAAGTGGGAATTCTGTGAGTGGGAGAGGTTGGTTCTTTTTACAACGCGATGAAGCATCCTGCGGAACACTGAAAAAAAGCTATGAGTGTAAAGACAATGGATGAGTGTGATGGATATCAGTGAAAATCATGTAACTTGCTTAAGTCAGCGAGGAAATAAAAATTTAAGCTTAAAAATAATTTTTCGAAAGTTCTGGAGTTTTACAACCAAGTTTTATTTTTGTTCCTCTTTAATTTAATTTGCAGTTTCCGGTTTCAGCTATTTTTCAGGAGCCCAACAATTCGCATGAACGCTTGAATAGCGAGGAATATGTACGCATTTTAAATGATGTAATTCATATAAATAAAAATCTGTGTGTTGCGCGCTATTTTAATCATCTAGATAAAGATGTCCCAAGGTTAGCAAATTTTTTAATTTTTAACTTTTTAAGATTCAGTTACTTTTTTTATTTCTTTTTCTATTATATTTCAGAGGATGGAATGGTCAAAAAAAATTCATTGACGTTTGGCCAGTATTCATACAAAAACCAGGTGAAACAGGACTTGGCTGGGGTAACAGGTAGGTTTTTAAATCACATTGTGTTTTTTTCTTTGAAATCAGTGGCTCAAGGGCAAATTTTTTCTACTAATTTCTTTCAGGATGGCTTTTTAATTATTTTTTAATGCTGTCTATTATTAATGACAAATTTCCTTGTTTGTATGATGGTTCAGCTCAACATTTCATTTTTGAGCTAACCATCAGTTTGTTAATAAAAAGACGGTTTTGAGCTATTAGGAAAAGTTTTGAGCTATTAGGAAAATAATAAAAAGACATTTTTGAGCTATTAGGAAAATTTGTTATTAATAAAAAGACGGTATTAATCACTAAAAAAAATGATCATCTTCCGTTAATTACTTTTTATAAAAATGTTCAAACACTTTCAGTTCTCTTTTTTTGCTCCAAATGGCTTGCATACTATCGATGAGTACTCGATGGCGTTCATCATCAGTTCTGCGCGTTTTTATTTGTGTTAATAGCTTACAAGTTTGTCTTAACTGAACATCCTTTATCAAGATTATTTTCTCATTTATTGTTTGATGAATTACATTTGAATTTTTACATTGGGTTCATCCACACTTTACAAGAACATATGGAGCTAGTCGCCTTGCCAGTCTGCTGAAATTAGTAGTTCGATCTTTGCTTAATCAAAAAACAGGAAGAGTCATCTTCCTCATTTGACTGACCATTTCATTTGTACTTAACACTACTTGACTCAGTTATTCAGGTTAATTTTTATAAGAGAATTTGGCGTCAGGAAACTGAATTTCTAATTGGATTATTTCTCAAATTTGCAGATAAATCATGGAGATGGTAGATTTTAAACCGAAATTTTACAAATGTAACTTTTTTGAATGAATACTGAATGCGTTTCCTGTTCTGTACTCTTTACTTGTCTAAATGTTACAGGATATGCAGAGGCGTGAGCGACAACTGAAACAAATGCTGGCATATCTTCGAATAAATGCGAAATCATTGGTAACACCATGGGATCATGTTGTTTGTCACCTTGATAGTGACAGTCCATCAGCTCCATTAAGGTTATCTGGAAGTTAATGAAATTAATGTTTGTTAGTTCTGATCCATGTTTTAATTTGCGTTGTTTATTTAAAATATATTTCAGTACTTTGAGTTTATAGTACTGTGTAATTTAAGTATAACATGCGTTACTTCGGTTTTCTGCTGCAGGGAATCAGTTGACTTGCCATTGCCTTATTTGACTGCTCTGAATGATTTAATCAAGAAGAACAGTGGTGATGCAGCTGTATGCTTGTTGAATTTGCCAACTCCACCAAAAGAAGTAATTTTCTCTATTACTTTGAAACGTGTTGAAAATAGGCATAAAAAATAAAGATAATTAATTATCCTACAAATTTCCTTAATCATTAATATAAAATTAGTTAGGTCTTAATACAGCAGTTTATATTCCATTTGATAAAGCGGAAAAAAATGTCTGTAATGAGTTAGAGAAAAGAAGCAAAGGCATAAGAAGTAAGATCTACCGGTCCTAGTCAATGATTAAAAACTAATGTAGCTAAAAAACTAAAAGCAGTATAAGAATTTAATAGTGATTACTTGCAGCGTTTTTTGTACTCAATGATTTGTTTTTTGCTTCAGATTTCACGAAGTGAGAAGTATTTGGAAGTAATAAGGCATTTGACTGATGGGTTACCGCCAACATTGTTAGTACATGGTTTATCCTCAGTTATATCGACGGCGCTATAATAATCCACAGTCTAAGAATAGCAAGCTGCGCTAAAAATTAGGATTGTCAAACGGTTATGTCTCTTTGAATAATTTTTGAATTTATTCATATACGGCTTATGTATATTTTACATATTTTAATTAGACTTCATTCACTACATCGCAAAAACTGTTAATCTCCCTTTTGATAGTTATAATTTATGTGAAAAGATCCTCACTGATTAAAGACCATCAAATCATTTATGATACTGGGCATTTGTGAACTTTAGATGTAACTATCGTGTTCAAAAAGGATTTTTTGCGTTTTTCATCACTGTACTAGTTTAGTTCTCAACGATTAAAACCATGTATTCTTAGCGAACCTTACAGTTTTATCAATTTGGAACAAAAATCCGATATCAGGACCCGATTCCGTCGTGTTATGCTTCCAGCCATTTTTTTTTTTAATTTGCTCTTGTGACAGTGACCAGAAGAAAAAACATTTCCCTTTGCACTTTTATTATACCATTATGAAGTACTTTTTACATTTTTGATTTGCTGTGATATCTCGTGTGTTAATCTAGGCACGTTTTTATATTTTAAAGCACATTTTTGTGTTCTAATTGCTATAAGCACTTTAGTATAATGTATTTAATTCATTTGCATTTAAATCTTTGGCTTAAAGAAGGAGGAGGATTAAATAATTAGTTCAACTGTTTATGATTTCCACACTTCTTCATTTGTACTTAATTTCCGATCTTTATATTCATTACATGTCCTTACTCATTATTATTTGATTATTTCGTAAATTTCTTTTTAAAATTTTCGAGCAGTTTTTTTCACCAAACTCAAAAAAGCGTGTACTCAAAATGTTCAGTTTATAAAAAATTGTTTTTATTCCTGTGACAAATAAAATCTTATTGAAGCCTTAAAGCAGTTAATAGTTTTGGTCATGTTTTTAAGCTTCGTGTTGATGATAAGAAAATAATCTCCTAATCTCCTAGTTAGGTTTTTCCTGAAAGGAATTGCTTTATTAAACAGTGAATAATCACTATTTGCCTCAAAAAGAGGTGAACCAGAAAGTTTTGTGTAAGAATGAAGACTAAACCAGCGTCGTCGTCAAAGTATTGATGGATTTGAACCGAAAAGGGGTTACACCGATTTGTTTTTTATTGCTGTGGTTTCCTGTGAACGGGAAATCATTGATGGAATTTTTGAAATAGAGTCGTTTTAATCTGTTCGTTTGTGAACTTCCATGAAGAGAAGTGTTACTCCCGACATGTACAATGATTCCAAATTTTATCACTGTTTTTGTCTTTTTGCGTTTCACTTTCCCGTCTTTGACTTGTACTAACGCTCTGCTCTTGTCGAAATATGGTCAGTCTTATTGCTTACCTATATTTACAATTGCACTAATTTTATTTTAAAGCATTACGATAGCAGACAAAAGTGATAGAGATCTGTGAGAAAAGACGATAAGAATAGCAATCAATTCAGACGAATATGACGACATTGAATCGTTTGTAATTTAAGTGAAATTTCAACAGCCTCTTCAAGTTGCTCTTTTCGTGCTACACTATGCTCGGAATGACCTATTGATTGATTTCTAACTGAAGATAATGTGTGTGTGTGTGTGTGTTTTTTTTGTGTTTAAAAAGCTGAAAAGATTCATCCTTATGCAATGCCTTACATGGTCGAATGGTCGAAATGAATATTTTCAACTCTTGATTGGATTGGCGATTCAGTATTGTTTGGAATTACATTGATATCTAACTCACATGCATTTTCACTTCATACTTTCACAATTATAAAGTGAAAATACATATGAATCAAATATCAATGTAATTCTAGCATCAAAAACATAAAGCATTTCCGTTTAATCCTATCCGATAACGAACCACAAGTAAGATTTGAACACTGGGCTATGTGCAAGTTAAAATTGATTCTCTAATCTCAGCTTAAGTCTTAATTCAGAAACATTATACTCATCAATATTTGTTTACATTGTTGTTACCCATAATGTTTGATTTGACTGTTGAGATTCTTGCCAATATACTGAAATAAATTCAATATTTTGAACTATAAAATAAGATATTTCTCGTATAACTGGTTTGGAGGGCAGAGGTTTGTGTCCAAATTACTTTCTTCCTTTCATTGAATTAGGAGAATTTAATACTGAATGTCTGCAACCGTTTGGCATGATGGCATTTGGCGTGCGATTGCATTATAGTTAGAGATCCTTTTGCTGTATGATTTGAGGTGTTCAAAAAAAGGATATGTCAGTAGCATAATTATTAACTTTTAAATATACCAATTTGTTTAATGAAATATGTAATTGGCAGCAAGAAACTCATTTGCATTATGGTGCTTCAATATTCTTTAGAAAAATTAGTAAAAATCAGTTGCGATAATTCATCTTGATTTGAGTATGTCAGTGATAAATTTCATTTAAATGATTTTCATAAAGTCGTTAGAAGTTTTCAAAACTACTTGGGTGAAAATTTCTCGAAAAAGAGATGAGATGAGGGAGCGTATTGGAAAATGGTGAAAATATGATCCAAATCAAGAAATAAAGGGAAAATATAAAGTGGAAGATACTGTAGATTGATATGTTTATCATGCAGTAAATATATTCATTTTATCAGTATTACATATTGATATATTTATCGCAATGTAGTGAACATACCTGTCATATGAGAAAACTGTTTGGGAATGACTAAAAGTAAAAGAACATGCAAAGGCTTTTAAGAGTGCTTGCAATTCAGCATGACTTAAAGCAATTGCAAAAAAGTTTCATGCTGAAATATGCAAACCAACCAAATGGGACAAAACTTATAATGAATAGCAACAGAGACAGACTATAAAATATTACAATAAAACTGTAACGTATTTCATGACAAATTAACTGTAAAAGATTTCACGACAAATCAGTCAAAATACTGTTAGATAAATTTATTTCTTTAAACTTTTTTTCTGAAACAAATTCATACAAATAATATACACAATTTGGAAACCAGAAGCATGCGCAAATTTCAGTATCCTGCTCAAACAAGGTGATATAATGTAAGATTTGGAAAAAGACATTTGAAATTATTTGTCAAATCATATGACATATCTGCGGAACCAATAATTTTATGCAATTTACAAATTTTTTTAGCTATGATTTTAAAAAGCACTTCAAATTTGAAAAAAATTAAAAGATGAATATTAAGAGGAGTGCAAAATACAAACAGCGTCATTCATAAAAAGAATGACTGGAATTTAGTTTAGTGGATGACGGCAGTGTTGAAATTGTAAGTGAAATTGAAGACATAACAATTATAATTAATAAATGAGGCAGTTTTAGATGAAGTAATTTGTGGAAGAAGTGAGAAGGAAGAATAAAACAAACAAATATGGGATGAGCGAATCGGATTGCATAAAAAATAAAAAATGAAATTAAGCTATCAATTTCATTACTTTTCCAATTCGTTTGAAAATTCTTTCATATGCTTTTAAAGTTCTTCAAAAAAAAAAATTCATAATTTTCGATGATACTTATTGAAAGATAAAAAAGCGTTACACAACATCGATCTCAGTAAAATTTCTATGGATTTTTATTGTACACGAAAAATTAGGCGTTTGAGATGAAAAAGTTCATATGATTTCTATGAATGTAAGATTTTCAAAAACAAGTATTACGAAAATCATTGATCATACATGCAAAGGACACATATAATAGACATTAAAAATTCTTTCAATTTCGAATTTCTTTTTTTGACATTAATTTGGATTCTAAACAAGCTGTTTTATCCGCCATGATATCACCAAAACAAGGAAATGGAAGTATTCATATTTGAAATGTAACAAAATCTTTCATTTCATACAAACTTCTTTTTAGAAAAAAGGCAAAATTAGGAGAACAGAGCGATGAAGGGATAATCTAAATAGAATTCAAAATTTTGCCATAAAAATAAGAAACGATCAAATGATATTGTGCTAAACATCAGTTCCAGCATCGGAACCGACCCTACTCGGTTTGGTTTTGCATTTCTTGATATAAATGGTAAGTAAGGCAGCAATAAGTATCGTCGAAAAGGATGCTGCTGCAATTACCAAAATAAGTGACCATAATGTGACCGCTTTCGAATTCCGTACGGCTACCAAAGAATTTTCTGCAGCAATCAATTTGCAATCACCATCGATCAATTGGTGATCTGAAAAATATGATCTCATTTATCGTTAACATATTTTCATATACTGGATATTGTTTTAAAGAATGTCCCAATAAAAGCAGAATTTTAAAGTAAAGTTCTACAACTAAACGATTATTTTCTTTTTCATCCAAAATTCCCCATCCTTATTCTAAATAATGTTTTTAATAGCATAAAATGAAATAAATATGTTACGGATTTATTTACTTCTCTTTGTACAATAATTGTAACAATGTGTTTGTTTAAGTATGAAAATCAGTTCTGCCTGCATTAAATACTGTAAAGAATACAATGCGAAAGTGATTTAAGCAAAGATTATGATGATTTAATACAATTTCCATCATGATTTTTCAGTTCTTATTAATTCCGCCAAATAATGATAATACCATAATCGCATTGATTGCAATCTTCACCAGCCCAATTTGGAGCACAGGAACAAATATTTTCAACCGTAATACTGCCATGAATACATTCGATTGGCGTTTCACAAAATGGACCAGTGAAACCAATGTCACAAAGACAGAAGCTACCCATCTGAAGGAGAAACACTGAATCTTGAAGAATTCCTTTCAATGTACAAACAAACTAGAAGTGAGAGTTTTTTTTTTTACTGGAAAATTTTTTCTTAATTTTTTAATTTTTAATTAATTTATAAAGAAATTAAAAAAATTTGCTTTAGAAAACCAAAATTCTGTAAATTTTCAGAATTTGGCATGATACAAGTTTCCTCTTTTCATTACCTGCTCTCCGGATCCAACAGAAATTCCATTATGGCACATTCGAGTCTGACAAAATATTCCGGTCCATCGGTCTTCGCATTTACACCGACCGTTTTCCAGCTTTCCCTTCCCTTCGATACATTGTGTTACCGTTTCACATCTTTTTCCTATTTTATAATTAAAGAATTATTTCCGCTGATCGTCGATAAATGAAGCACAATTACATATTATCTGTCACATAGCTTGAAATAACTTCTAACATTATTTAATTTAAAACTGTCAGTATAAAATTTTGTTCAGCAATAAAAGTTTGATTACTAAATTTTATAAAATATGTTTATTAAAATCAAAAATTGTGGTAACAATAAATGGGTTACCAGTTAAACCATATGGACAATGGCATTTGCCAGCTTTCGATTTTCTGCCACCATGTAAGCATGGTTCGATTTCGCATGCCTCACCTTCAAATCGCTCTTGACAGTGGCATCTGCCCTATAAATGAAGTAAATTCCAGTCTGCTGTACTGATAACAATAAGGTGGAGCATTTAACACATTCCATAAATTAAGATTGCTTTTTTGAAAATGTTAATTGCGATATCATATTAATATAGCACGTTTATTTAAATTATTTAAATTTCTTGAAGTAGTTTGCTAGCAAAATTGCTAGTACATGCATTTTTACGCATCAACACACATGAATTCAATATTTATTTCCTGTCAAGACTCAATCTTAGAGACAACTTGGAGGTCATTTTGCGCAATCGGAATATTAATATTAAAAATATAACGATACATGCCAGATCCCTTGGGAGATAAACCCATTTAGAATAACGGATCATTTGTATTGGAAGTCAGTGAAATGTTTTTGAATAGATTTGTTATTAACTTTTCTAAATCCCACATGAAACTTTCCGGAAAGATGGATAGGAAATATGATTTGATAAGGAAAGATCTCATAATTTTCCTATTTCATCTAGCAGGAAAATATCTTCTTAATTAATGTTTTTAAGTCATTTGCACATATCGAAAAACGAAATATTCCAAAATTGAAAGTATGAATTGTCAATTTTTCAATTAACCATTAAACGAAGTAGATGAAGACATCATATCCGTGGGAAAATCCGAAATTTTTTGATAAAATTATTCACGTGATTGAGAATTATTCATTGACGGTTAGGCTAACAAAAGAATTTTGTCTTTGTTAAAATTTATTTCTTGTCGTGTGACCTCTTTGTGTTGCTATAATATCACTGAGAGAGAGAGAGCTTTACCACACATTTGTCTTTTGATTGTTCTTTATGTGAAACCAATGTAGCTAACAAGTAATCAAAAAAACTCTCTTTTTTGTCCTACTGCTTCTTCTTCCTCAACATGATATTGTTCTCATTGCTTCTTTCTTCCTCAACATGACATTGTTTGACCTTGGAATTACTTATTAAGCCCATTAGCTACTTCATGATACCGTCCAATACTGGGTATATAAACAGTCAAATATTCGTGTCAAAACTCTCCTTTAGCATACTTTCACATCTTTCAACATTCATAATGATCATACGATTAACGCTAGAATTATTTGGATAAAATTTCTAACTATAAAATAAATCTTAAGAAATGATTTGTCTGTGAATCAACACCAACCAATCTACAACGCCTTCACAACAATATTCAATTGAATTAAAACTTTAATCTTCTACATCCAAATCACATTTTCATAGCCTAGTATTATATTCTGAATTTCAAAATTGTCCGTGAAAGAAACCTTCATTGACAGTTTTGAAGTTCAGAACACTTAATTTCAAAAAAAGCGAGTAAAATTTAAAAGATGAGACTGAAGTAGAACGTATAAAAATTTGCGGAACTAGAAAATTAAATAAGTGAATTCATAATTTTTTATTGATTGTTTAAAAAATAAATGGCTAACATTAATCAATGAGCCACCATTGAAGCATGAAAAATTTGTTCGACCGTACTGAATGCTATGCTCCATTGAATTTTCATCACTGCCAAAAGCTAGACTCGTTATTGCGGTGATATCAGAAATTTGCACGAGAATCAGAAGAATAAGGAGGGATCTCGTGCAGCAGCAGAAATCAGTGGACATTGCCATTTCAGCGCTCTGAAATTTCTAATCATCTTTTTAGTTTTATTCAATTGATAAATCCAATAACGAAATCTTACTCGATCCAACACAATACAGATGTTTTGCTAATAAACAGTACATATTAAATTTTTTTAGTCTAATTTAATATATAGAATCGACAATTACCGAGATTTTTTCAATTCTTCCCTCTTTCAAATGATGAAATTCGATCATCTCTCTTAACAAGCTGCAGAAGTTTATGGTTACTGAGCGAACTTTTGAAATGACATAACAAATAGTTTGCATCAGCTTTTCTTAAAAAATTTTCACGAGAAGAGAATTGACCATTGAAATGAAAGATTGCAAAATTCACACATGCATTTTAAATACATTATACATTTTGTTGCGCGATAGATTTAAATGATGATTCAATTTCATAAGAGTTTTAAATATGATTCTTAGAAATTCATTCAACTGCTGAGCTCCAATTGCAATTGAAGTGCAGCACAAATAAAATTCAAAAAGACTTTCTTGATAATTGTCAGTTTTCTAATTCTTTGCCAATCAAATATTCCAAATGCTATTTGAATAGTGGAAAGCAACAAAAATGTGCATTTAAAAATTAAAATTCTTATTCCTTAATGCTAAAAAGGTATTTGATGGTATAAGGATAAATTTTAATGAATTTTCAATATTTCATTAAAATGTACTCGTAATGCAAAGCATGAAACGATATTGATAAAACAAACAGATAAATAAACAATAGGAATTGCCTCAGATCCCATTTTTCCACTCAGTTTTTAATGTCTTCAGGCACATCGAGAGAAATGAAAAATTAATGAAGCTTAGCTGTGGTTTGCTATGGCCAGACGATAAACTTTAGTCTTCTTGGACCATGAATTAACAAAAAGTCTCATACGATGTGCTGAGAGCTCACCCTCAACTGTCAAAATCCAAAATTAAGACATCCATTAGACATTCCATTCGGTTTAATATACCCTAATTGATCCAATTTGTATTTTCATCCTCACTTTTTACATATAAAAATCAATTGCCTAATGAGAATAAGTGATTGTTAGTATTTCAGAGTTTAGCTTAATTGAAATTCTATCCTTCCAGTGGAACGATTCAATAAAGAATTATAGAATTTTTATCAACAAAAATTTCCAATCTTCCATAAAAAATTATAATTTTTCATTCATCAATACAATATAAAAACAGAGATAATAAGTTTAATAAATTAGAAAATTAATTGAATTTGAGATTGGACCTTGAAATATATCACTACAACATTTCATTCTTCACAATTGGAGAGAATCGTATCCTTTTTATAAAAAGATTGTCATATAAACTGCGAGATGAATATGCAGGAAGCAGGTGGCAATAAAGAGACAATTTTTTAGTAGCAATTTCAATGGTTGAAACGACCACTTGCTGTCATCGAGCGGTAAGTAAAAGAGAGATTATACGTAAATAGAAAGGAATGAGCAACAAATGATGCCTATCAACGAAATGATCATCATGCAACCCATTTGGAGCAATTTGCCAATCAACTCTCGTTACAGCTACCGAAAATTTTAATCAAATTTCTCTTCCCATGCGTTTAATGAAATATCTGCACAATTTTTTTATGAAATGATAATTTTTGTAGGATTGAAATTGACAGCTTAATTTTCAAAGACTATCAACTGTCGAGCAAGAAATCTCAAAATATTTGTTGGCATTGTATTATTAAAACAGTAACATTTGAGCTTAGTTTGCATTTAAATTTGGTGCATTTCTCTAAGATTCATCGCCTTCCTATAAATGAATAATCAATAAAAATTTTGAAAATGAAGGCAATAACTTAATAAACACTTTCAAAATATCGTATCAAAATAATTTTTTCATGTAATACATGAAAAAATTTTGATATGATATTCTGTTTATCATTTACAGTAATGAACAAATATTTACAGTGAAATCAATATACCGATAATAATTATAATAATATATAAATTTATAATTTCTCCATGAGTAAACTATATGCGAAACATAAAGAAATAACCCGATTTTTGATTAGCGGTATTGTTAGCCAGCAACATTTGGTAAAATGAAAGATTTGAGCCAAGCAAAATTGTTGAATAAATTTAAATACTTATCATCCAACAATAATAATTGAAGAGAAATAACCCGATTTTTGATTAGCCATTCCCTCTCAAATGATAATGTTGTCCGTGTTCGTCAATAGCGCTAGCAAATTGATACGTAAAAGTTCAGGCATATCCTGTCAACTAGCATTTTAGCATGAATCAATCAGCTAACTCCTCTCCGTTTACAGTGATTCTTTGACTTTTAACCAGGAAATGGTTGCAATTGCATCTTGCATCCACGATGTCTCACTTGCCATTTGTTTCATTAGGCTGAGTAATCTGAAGGTTTGAGCAATCACGGTTGGGACTGAAGGCTGAGAGCTTACTCACTAATTATGGTATGTCATCATGCGCGATAAGTTCAATAAATGAAAATTTATTTGAATAAAATACTTCTGCTCAATAAACTTATTGCTATCATTGGAAAAAACTTAATCTTAAATTACTAAAGTACAGCACTTGAAAATTTAAACGTTTCAAATTCTTCTACAAAAATTGCATATTTGCATATTTCAATTTGTAATAAAATTTTTGAAAAATTGTTGATTATGTAGCCAATAGCAAAATGAAATTACCAAAATATGAATGGGCAGTAGCCATTTTTAACTGATTTCATGCTTGGTTCCTCAAGGTCAAGGTTTATTGGGACATGAGAGGCACAAGCAAATGCATGCGACATTAAATGTTGCATGTAAAGATCATTTAAAAACTGGAATTATAATCTCCTTAAATGAGTTTACGAGATTGATTGAAAAGCATTAAGCATTCAACGAAGAAATATTACAATTATGACTACAGTTTTGAATGTAAGAGATAATTTATATTTAATTGCAATTGTGACCATATTTGCAATTATTTGAAACAAAAGATTTTTTAATACTTTCATACGATGGCCGAGAATGCATAGTGTATTCAAATAAAGAAAAAAAGCATGAAGTGAATGCTGCCAAAATCTATCGTAATTAAAGCATTATCATTTAAATGCAGCAGATGATCATTTTCTTCTGATCTGCAAAAAATTTCATAACAAATCAAAAAAAGTAACCGCAATTCAAGTAAATATGATAGAAAAATCCCTGCATGAGATTCACATCAAATTTCCATGGTTGGAAGAATATTTAGGCCATCAATCGAACTGTAACAGATTTTCATTTGTAGTCACTTTTCTACAAAACGATAAAATTGGATTGTTAATTGCATGTTGTGTATCATTTATTCCATCCTTCTTTGTTATTCACAGCAGAAGAATCAGTGGACATTTGCAATGAGTGCAAGTGTCAACTTTAATTTTCCTCCTTTTATAATGTTTACTGTATTGAAAATATTATTTATTATCATTTTCTCCTTCTGCTAGCGCCCTTAATGAAAAACACTCATTTAAAAAATTAAATGTGAAAAACTTTATTTATTTATTTAACTCAAAAAATTTCTGATAACGACATTACCTCCGAAAGGTCTCTGCAATAGTCTTTTGGTGGAAAGAAGTAAATTGCCAAACTTCAAAGATCAATAACAACGATAAAATGTTTTAAACGATAGTAATGCTTACAGTTTGCAAAAGAGTGTTTTCTTTTTTGAAGTTAGTAAAAAAAGGAGCTTTATAGCAGTGG